ATCTCTAAATAAATGATTCGATCGAATGTTTCGAAATTAATTATCATGTTCTGTACTTCTACGTTTTAATTGAATAAATCATTTGTCTTCCATTAATAATTTTGTTTCATTCCTATTTCTAAAATATTTTAGTCAAATTTAATGCTTCATTTACGTTATCTAACGACAGTCATTGAATAATAATTGCTCAAAAAATACATTTCAAAATTCTTACAATTTCCGACACAAATAGAAAAGCCATGATGCATAGCAAAATAAATAAAATACCTAGACTAAAATTTCACTGTAGGATATTTGATATTTTTTGTTAATCTTGTTAGACTCTACCTTACTTCTTTTCACTCTTGAGTAGTTTTTTGAAAATACCAAAGCTTTTTATTGTCGAAAAATTTAACTTATCATTAAACTTTAAATCACTGAAATCGCTTTAAAAATATTTAATTATTCAACTTCAAGAATAAAATAATTATGTAAATAAACAAATACAGCAAAGATAACAATTAAATTCAAAAGCCACAAAATGTAGTATAAAATCTTTTTTTTCTCAAGAGATTAAAGTAATACAGAATAAGAATGTACAATGTAATGTTAAAAAGCTAAAAGAGAATAGCAGAGACTTTACATCAGTTTTTGCAACTACCACTGGGAATTGTCGATCCAATCGACGTTTATCCAAGCAGTAAGCAGTCGTGCAAAAGCCATGCATGTGCAGTGCGGGCACTAATGTGTGCTACACAAAAAGTAATGCGTCTAACCGATCACAATACCCAGTTTTTACATTATTCGGTGCTCAAACCATCATATCTACATGTCTTTTTCTTTAATAGAGTCCGGTACCAATAACGGGTGGGATATATACTCTTCGATGACCCCATGGTTCTGCGGATAATCGACTGAAAATAACCCCCAGAGACGAGGGCCCCTGGCTTTTACTCACTCACTCAAGTTTTCTCCCTCTTGTTGCACTGATCTATATAAAGCAAGAGTCGTCGGCTCACACAGTTCGTTGCATCTGTTACCCTAGGGCTGACGAATCATTCTGACGATTAGCGAGGAAGACTTATAAACGCGAAATGGAAAAATAAAGGAAAAATAAAAGAACTTTATATCTACACATCAGCTATATTACTTTGTCATTCATTTAATAGAGAATTAAACTATTTAGTATATATGAATTAAACACTTTGACACTCTATTTTCGTAAGAGGGCAATAGGAAGACTAATATCTTTTTTATCTTGATTACATTACAAAAGTTTTTCTTTTTCGAATGCAAAAAAGCATTTCCAGTAGGAAATGGCAAATAAAAGAATAATTTAATGATTCGTGGGATTTAAGATGGAGTTGAGGTTTACTCAGAAACCTTTGATTGAAATAAAGTTTGGTTAACATTTTTTTAAAAAGTTATTGAGGAATTAAAAAATTAAACTTTGGTAAATTTTAAATTATATTAATAAAATAGAACATGGAAAAGATTTTACGCAAAAAATTAATGTAGAATTTAAGATAAAAGTTATACTTATCCTTATAATCAAATGTGTAACTAAAAATTAAAGTTTTTATTTTTAAGAATGGTTTTTCATGTTTTCTATACCAAAGTTCAAAAAATTAACTTTCACATTTTAAGTATACTATTCTCTTAATATAAATAAGTGAAAATTATATAACTAATTACAGGAAAATCATCAGAACTTGGAGCATGAAAATTGAAAACCATTCAAATGCGTTATTATTTAACGTTAACATAAAAAATACTAAATTAAAAAATATTATAATGATTAAAATATTTATTAATCACGTGCTATTAATAAAAAAAAATCCTCATCAAGAAATATTTGTTTTAGATGCATTTTTCAGTTGAAAATTATTCAACAGTGTGCTTGTATATCATGGAAAATTTTCAAATTATTGAAAAAAGTAATAAAACGGTAGATATATTCGAAGAAAATAGCTAACAAAGAAGATTAATTATTGATTCCAGAAATTACAAAATATTTTTTAAGTAGGACCTATCTTGTAGGACTAATATGGAGATAAGCGCCTAATAAGAAGGCAATAGGATCCAGACCAACAGCTCAAAGATGAACATTGATTGAGGAGGGGGTAGAAGGTAAAAGGGTGGCTCGTGCAATTACAGATTTTGAGTGACAGATGCTCTCCCGCTAGTTGGAAGATTAAAACAAGTAATCAAAATCCCAGTAGCCACCCTGGATATGGATGGATGCACGCCTACTACTCAAAAAGTATCTCTTTCTCTTTTACTCTCTTCTATCGTAGTAAAGCTTTTCCTCTACTCTCACTTTCTTATCAGTGAAATAGTCCTCATTCATTCGCTTCAATTCACTGTAAAAGCATGAATCAAGATTGCGATTTCCTGCTATTTTACTCGAATCGATCTTTACTGCGATAAAAAATAAATTATCGGGATATGACATTTTAATGTTCACACTTTTTATCTTTAATTTTTCTATTAATTACTTCATTGACTTTCATTTAAAGTTTTTATCGCATTTAACTACTTAAAAAAACAACAAATCATTTGTAAATACTTGTTAATTAAATTTTAAATTTGTTAGTCTACTCTAGAAGCTAAAATCTTACCAGAAAAAATATATTCTTAAATATATAAAATGTTTGTACATTTTCATTTTGGTAAAAGTTTGATATAATTTTAAGATGACTTGGTGCTTTTATCACATGAAAAATGGGATAAAAACAGTACTAGTAAGCCGTAAAGGTAGTGTTATAGATGGTAGTCAAGAGTGTGAAGATCAAATATTTTCTAGCTCACGTCTTTTTATTTCTCATTGTCTTTTTATCTCGACGAGCGTCACGGAGTTGCGAGCTTTCACATCAACGTGATATACCGCACAAAACCCTACTTTCCTGAAATGGAAGGTGCGGACAGAAAGTACATTTTGAGACGACTCCCACCGGCTTCGAAGAAAAAGTATGGGTTAGAGAAGCAAAGATACACTCCAAGATATAGATGCTAGCCACACGCGGGACTCCGCAATACGGTTATAACATGAATATATTTCTCATCGTGAGATGAGAAAAGTTTTATACTCTTTTAGTACGAAGTAGAAGAATTTAGTATTCGATTTTGCTCCTTCAGAAATTTTACAAGACATTTTTATAAACTTCAACTTAATAAAACATTTAAATGGAATTTTCATTCAGTAAAAAATCCAAATAAAATCGACCAAAAAATTATAATGATAATCTAAGAAATTTTAATAATTTTTTTAAAGTTTTGTTAAATTTAAACGAATTGACATAAAAATAAAATTTTTTATTCTCATGATTTGGTGAAAAAAATAAAAATAAGATCAAACAAACTCATGAAAGAAGAATTATTTGAAAAGTATCACAAGAAAAAAATGATAATAGTTTGGATAATAAATAGTATCATTTTAATGCATCAAATTATCTCTAGATGGGAAGAAAATACGGAGGAGCTATATAAGTTGATGGGTGCTTCGAATATGATTAGTCCTAAGAGACTCCCGTTCTCAGGGACAGGATTGGATTTGGTGGGATATAAGAGAGGATGAGCCGTTTATCTCTGGCGTCGCTTTTCAGTTTTTCCCCACCCATACCTCCTTCTGCCATCGCTCATCTCCGGTTACTTCATCCCTTCTTTTAGGGCGTTACGAGCACAGCAGTTTCTTCTCTCTTTCTTATACTTGTTCCACTCGTTCAGTACCATCTCTACGAAATAATAAGCTCCCCCGTTTCTCTTTCACTTTTATCCACCTCTTCCCTTGTCTCTTTTGCTACCCCGTACTCGCTGACTTTTCTCTACTTGCGCAAATTTATCACAAGACCTTTGAAGACGTAAGTCTCTTTCAACATGATCTCTCTATACTATATACAAGACCACTAGATAGGCCATGCTCACTCCATCTCTACAGTTTCTCATTTTCAACATCCTCGTAACTAAATTACCACATTTCTAAAGATGTTCTTTATCGATTTCAAGTAGTGTTCTTCACCCTTGTCAATTTATTCGTTTAAATTTTAATTGGATCACACGTAAACACGATTAAAAATGTTTATTTCGATTCTACTATCAAATGTTTATTTAAAACCTTCAAAAAGTAAGAGTAATCAAACAACCACTAATTGGCTTTCAAATGGATGAAAATCCAATTACAACATTACTCAGAATTCTTTCAAGTTTTTTAAAGAAATTGATTTTCGTTAAATAATTTTTTTTAATTATATAATTACTCATAATTCTCAATTGGTTTTTTGGTCTTATCGAGGAAAATAAATTTTGATTATCAATAATATATACTTGTATAGAATCTTTAGAAATACCAAAGATTGGACACAAATTCAGAGAAGCGAGAGATAAAGACGTCGAGGATAATCCAAGAACGGTCTTTCAGTGACTCGATCTGCTATTGCTCCCGTCGCCACAAAGAATCAAATCAACCGGCACGAGATTGCTTGTGTCTGACTCTCTCACTCAAATACATCTCATTCTTTTCTTCAAGTTCTATCTCCTTCTATTTCATTCAGGTTCCATGTGCCCTTATGCTCTTTGCGACTGATTGAACTGACAAAAAGCTTGGGTTTGCTGAGGCACCACCAGCCAGCCTTCCTTCATATCGCTGCTCCAAAAACCATCATAAGTGCATGGTAGCGTGTGCGTTACAAACGCTAACGCACGTGCACCTACTCTAAAGTCTAGGATTGTAGTTCCGGCTGCAAATTGCCGCTTCAACACGCTCCAGCACGCGTTTCAATTCAACTTCAACGTTTTATTAATCAACACAAGAAAAATAAACAATGTCACCGATTAAATGTTTCTGATAAATGATTTTTTTCAATAGTCTATTCTCTTCTACATTTGTCGTAAACTTTTATATCAATTATTAGACTTGAAATAATCACAAAACTGTTTCAAAAATATAATATAATGAATAAAAATTAATTTAACTTTTCATTATGTTAAAAATTTTCTAATTATCAAATAATTGTTATAGCTGATTGATTATTTAATTTTTTTTATTTTTCTTACTAATTACTGTTACATTGTATATAATAACAAAATTAAATAATTAATTTACCGATTCATTAGGAAAGATTAACATTTAGAAAAAAAATTAAAAATTTTTTGCTTATCAAAGCATCCCTTTTGAATATTATATTTCAATTATAATATCAATTGATTCGTTAATCGTATTTGTTTAACAAACAATTGACTAAGTGATGACTTAACCACGTTAAGAGCTATTGAATTAGTTAACAGACTCGAAGTATTCCTTACTATCTTTCGGATTTGGTTTAATCGTCTTAGAATCTGGCTGCCAATTAGCTGGACAAACTTCTCCATGTTTCTCCACAAATTGAAATGCTTTGATCAAACGTAGCGTCTCATCTACACTTCTTCCAACAGGTAAATCGTTAATGCTGAGCTGTCTTAATACTCCTTCTTTATCAATTATGAATAAACCTCGAAGAGCAATTCCAGCATCATCTAGAAGAACCCCATATTTTTTGGATATTTCTTTGTTGAAATCACTCAAAAGTGGATAAGAGAAGTTATCTCCTAAACCACCCTTTTTTCTTGGTGTATTGATCCATGCTAAATGACTGAAATGAGAGTCTGTTGACACTGCAATTACTTCACAATTTATGGCTTTGAATTCAGATATTTTGTCACTAAAAGCTGTTAGTTCGGTGGGACAAACGAATGTACTGAAAATCATAAAAAAACCATGTATTAAACTTCTGTTTTTGTATTACTATAACAGTATCTTTTTCACTCTAATTTTGTTATTAACACAAAATTATTAGAGATAAAAAATGTGGAATAAATTCATAGCAATACTTACAAATCCAGTGGGTAGAAAAATAAGACGACGTATTTCCCTCGATAATCCGAGAGTTTAATATCTTTGAAATCTCTATTTACCACAGCAGTACCTGCAAAATCTGGTGCCGGCTGCTGAATTTGAGGCCAGCCGAAAAGCTTCGAGGAAGCAGAAAAACTGCGGGTTTTATTTATTGCAGCTAAAGATTTTAATTCTGCGGAGAGCGAAGATGAAGCAATCTGTTGATAAATAAAAAAACAGCTGATACAAATGCATCTTATTAGTAAAATATTAGTAATAGAAATGAAAATTGAAAATTTAGCAGCCAAATAAAAATAAAGGTCTAAATGGATAGACAGATAAATAAATAAAATAATGAATAATATGCAAAATTAGTCATGTGAAAGGAATTATTTTATCTTACCCATATAAAATCGGTTTAAATAGGATGTGATATTTAATTTTAGGTAAAAATTTTATGGACTTTAAATAACCATATTGACAGTAATAAACAGATAAAATAATAAAAATAAAATAATTAAAAAAAAAAATTTTTAATCAAACAGTAGTTAAAAGCCACAAACACTCAGTATTATTATGTAGATATACAAAAGAAAAAATCACCATGAGAATGAAAAATGAATATAAGTTAAAAAACAATGAGAATGGAATGATTTTTTAAATGTTTTAAATTAATGTAATTGGAGATTTTTGACAATCAACAAGTATCGAAATCAATTACATTGATCTGTGAGAATTGATATATCAATAGTAATAACAAATGATTCCTTGAAAATCATTCCTACTTACCAAACTACGAGCTTTCGGATACAAATTAATTAAAATGCGCGACATTACTATTTTACATAAATTTTTAACAAAAAACTAATAATATAAATTACACTGAAGGTTATGTAATCAATGAAAGAACAATATTAAATGACAAACACGTAAATAATCACAAATATTAGTTTATATAAAGAAATTACGGAAAATATTTAAAAATATCATTAAGAATTACAGGTATCTTCATCAAACGATATAATAGAAACAAATTGGAATGTAATGAACCGGTACCATAAAAACTTATGTTTATTTTTATCCGTGCACGACAAAAGGTGAGATTGTCACATGCAATGTTCAAGATGCCAAACGCATGAATACATTGCATAGTTTTCAATAATATACAGTAGATGTCTCTATAATATAAAGTCACTGGACGAAAATATAAAAATTTTTTTTATTATAAATAATATTGTAAAGTAAAAAAGTTTGTAAATCAATTAAAAATTATACAATTTATAATTATTAATAGTGTAATAATTATTTTTTAAATAATTATCAATTTTACTAAAATCAAAAATAACCACTATTGCCACCTACAGTGATCAGACTGAATTCCGTAACAATCAGTCGGTTTTCTATCTACACGTGAAATAGTTTGAGGAAAAGAATTGTAAACCGCTAAAATCACTTGTTTTGCGGTGCAAAACGTCGTGTTTCGTAGTATTTGTTCTGTAGTGAACAACGTTTTAATAATTTATTTTATATACTAATAATTAGTTGATAATTTCACTTTAAAAATACATAACCATGTATTCTTTTGATGATAGTAAGTACTTGTGTTATAGCAAAATTATATATTCTCAATAATATTTTATTTACATATTTAACCTTAGCTTTGAGGAATACCTTTAACTTAATTCATTTGAACATATATATCATTACATGTATTGAATAAATATATTTTTATTATGGGTAATAATTTACATGATAAATGTTTAAACAAAAAATTTTTTGTACTAGAATCATTCGATGAAGAAGAAGATAGAGAGATCTCACCGAAGTTATGGCAAGAAGCATGTTGGATTGTCATCAACGCTTATTTTGATGAAAAAGGTCTCGTTCGACAACAGCTTGACAGCTTTGACGAATTTATTGAAATGTCTGTTCAACGAATTGTCGAAGACTCTCCACAAATTGATCTAGTAGCTGAAGCTCAACATATTTCTGGAGAAATAGAGCAACCAATCAGACATTTACTGAAATTTGAACAAATTTATTTATCAAAACCGACTCATTGGGAAAAAGATGGTGCTCCATCTGCAATGATGCCAAACGTAGCTAGATTGCGCAATTTAACTTATTCAGCTCCATTGTACGTTGACATAGCAAAAACAATTATTAAAGATAAAGAAGAACCAATAGAAACTCAACATCAAAAAACATTTATTGGTAAAATTCCTATTATGTTAAGGTCAAAATATTGTTTACTTGCTGGTCTATCTGATCGAGATCTTACAGAATTGAACGAATGTCCATTAGATCCTGGTGGATACTTTATTATTAATGGATCTGAAAAAGTATTAATCGCTCAGGAAAAAATGGCTACAAATACAGTTTACGTTTTTAGTATGAAAGATGGAAAATATGCTTACAAAGCAGAAATTCGGTCATGCTTAGAGCATAGTTCTCGTCCTACATCAACATTATGGATTAATATGATGGCTAAAAGTGGTGCAAGCATAAAAAAATCAGCTATTGGACAAAGAATAACTGCAAATATTCCATATGTGAAACAAGAAATTCCAATCATGATTGTTTTCCGAGCTCTAGGTTTTGTAGCAGATCGTGATATTCTGGAACACATCATTTATGACTTCGATGATCCTGAAATGATGGAGATGGTGAAACCTTCATTAGATGAAGCTTTTGTAGTTCAAGAACAAAATGTTGCTTTAAATTTTATTGGTAGTCGAGCAGCATCGGCTGGAGTTACAAAAGAAAAACGTGTTAAATATGCTAAAGAAATTTTGCAAAAAGAAATGCTGCCTCACGTTGGTATCAGTGACTTTTGTGAAACAAAGAAAGCTTATTTCCTTGGTTACATGGTTCATAGACTTTTATCAGCTTCTTTGGGTAGAAGAGAGCTCGATGATCGGGATCATTATGGAAATAAACGTTTGGATTTAGCTGGTCCTCTTTTGGCTTTCTTATTCAGAGCATTAGTTAAAAATTTGATGAAAGAAGTCCGAATGTACGCTCAGAAATTCATCGATCGTGGAAAAGATTTTAACTTAGAGCTCGCTATCAAAACAAAAATTATAACTGACGGTTTAAGATACTCTTTAGCTACTGGAAACTGGGGCGATCAGAAAAAAGCTCATCAAGCTCGAGCTGGAGTATCTCAAGTATTGAATAGATTAACTTTTGCTTCTACTTTGTCTCATTTAAGACGAGTTAATTCACCAATTGGTCGTGATGGAAAACTTGCTAAACCTAGACAACTCCATAATACACTTTGGGGAATGCTATGTCCTGCTGAAACTCCTGAAGGAGCTGCTGTAGGATTAGTAAAGAATCTTGCTTTAATGGCATATATTAGCGTTGGTTCTCAACCATCGCCAATTTTAGAGTTCTTGGAGGAATGGTCTATGGAAAATCTTGAAGAAATAGCCCCTTCTGCTATTGCAGATGCTACAAAAATATTTGTTAATGGCTGTTGGGTTGGTATACATCGAGATCCAGATCAATTGATGTCTACATTAAGAAAACTACGACGTCAGATGGATATTATTGTATCTGAAGTATCAATGATTCGTGATATACGTGATAGAGAAATTAGAATTTATACAGACGCTGGAAGAATTAGTCGACCATTACTTATCGTAGAAAATCAACAATTATTACTTAGAGAGTCACATATTAAAGACTTGAAAAAAAGTCAATATAACAACGATGGTTGGCAACATTTAGTTGGTAGCGGAGTAGTAGAATATATCGATACTCTTGAAGAAGAAACAGTGATGATTGCTATGTCTCCAGATGATTTAAGACAAGAAAAAGAGTACGCTTATTGTACAACATATACTCATTGCGAAATTCATCCTGCAATGATTTTAGGTGTTTGTGCTTCTATCATTCCATTCCCTGATCACAATCAAAGTCCTAGGAACACCTATCAAAGTGCTATGGGTAAACAAGCTATGGGAGTCTACATTACAAATTTCCACGTTAGAATGGACACTTTAGCTCATGTTCTCTTTTATCCACATAAACCTTTGGTTACTACTAGATCTATGGAGTACTTAAGATTCAGAGAATTGCCAGCAGGAATCAATAGCATTGTTGCTATTTTATGTTACACAGGATATAATCAAGAAGACAGTGTTATTCTCAATGCTAGTGCTGTTGAAAGAGGTTTCTTTAGATCTGTCTTCTATAGATCTTATAAAGATGCAGAATCAAAAAAAATTGGAGATCAAGAGGAACAGTTTGAAAAGCCAACAAGACAAACTTGTCAAGGAATGAGAAATGCTATTTATGATAAGCTTGATGATGATGGAATTATTGCGCCAGGAATCCGTGTCTCTGGTGATGATGTTATTATTGGTAAAACAATCACTCTTCCTGAAACAGATGATGAGCTTGACAGTACAACTAGACGATATGTCAAGAGAGATGCATCAACGTTTTTGAGAAATAGTGAAACTGGAATTGTTGATCAAGTTATGTTAACTTTGAATAGTGATGGATACAAATTTTGTAAAATTCGAGTTAGAAGTGTTCGTATTCCACAAATTGGAGATAAATTTGCATCTCGGCATGGACAAAAAGGTACCTGTGGTATTCAATATCGTCAAGAAGACATGCCTTTCTCTTGTGAAGGTCTAACCCCAGACATTATCATCAATCCACACGCCATTCCATCTCGAATGACCATTGGTCACTTGATTGAATGTATTCAAGGCAAAGTATCTGCAAATAAGGGAGAAATTGGTGATGCTACACCATTTAACGACGCTGTTAATGTCCAAAAAATCTCAACACTTTTGCAAGAATATGGATATCAATTGAGAGGCAATGAAGTAATGTATAATGGTCATACTGGTAGAAAAATCAATGCTCAAGTATTTCTTGGACCTACTTACTATCAGAGATTGAAACACATGGTAGATGACAAAATTCATAGCCGAGCTAGAGGACCTGTACAGATTTTAGTGAGACAACCTATGGAAGGTCGTGCAAGGTAAAACAATATGATTTATTATATTCACATTTTCAATAACTGATTTCTTATCATTAGCGTTTATATTTAATTATTTTATTCTATCTTAGGGATGGAGGTTTACGTTTCGGTGAAATGGAGCGTGATTGTCAAATATCTCATGGAGCAGCTCAATTTTTGAGAGAAAGACTTTTCGAAGTTTCTGATCCATACCGTATACATATTTGTAACTTCTGTGGATTGATCGCAATAGCTAACTTGCGGAATAATACATTCGAATGCAAGGGATGCAAAAATAAAACACAAATTTCACAAATTCGACTTCCGTATGCTGCTAAACTTTTGTTCCAAGAATTGATGTCAATGAACATTGCTCCACGACTCATGGTATCATAACTTAATTTGTATAAAGTAAAGAAGCATAGAAAGCTGTTTAGTTTTAAAATAAAATTTATTTCTATTTTCTGGATATTAATAATTAATGTATTATTTTTTAATGAAATCCTTTTACTGAATAAATCGATAGATTTCTATAATCAAAACTTTAGACATCACTGTTCCATATAATTAAAATTTCTTAAATATTTGAACAAATTGTAGGATAGTAAAAAATGGTGCTCTTATAAAAATAATTATTCAATTTTCAATAATAACTCGTCAATGATTATGTGGATCTTATCGGACTGCTTTATCACTTTCATGTAATGGATCATAAAGAGCATGACTTACATCACTAATACAAAATGTGGCACGGCACTGTGGACAACTGCTTTTTAATTGAGTTAAGTTTTCGATGTGTCGATTCAAATCTACAGATGATGCTATGAACCTATTGTTGAAAATTGACTGGTTATTAAATTTTATAGTATCATATTTTATTGGTACTAATTGTATAACAGTACTGACCATTTTACTAGACAATCAAGACATAGTCTTGGTGGACAGTTACATGTTCGACAAGCTGGAGTATTATCTATGGTAGGAAAGTCTGGACATCGTTTAACTATTTTCACATTAGACGTAGTTTGAATACATATAGCGCATTTTTCTAGTTCCTGATAATAAAATTAAGATGAAATTTAGTAATACATTTGACAGTTTCATAACTAAAAAATTCAGTGCTGATTTCATTGAGTTTAAAAACATACTAGGTTTGTTATGTAAAAAGGGTTCTTGTTAACTTCTTCTTTTATCCAATCAATATATATTTCTTTCAGCCTTTTTGGAAATTCACATGTGGGCAAAGTGAATATGGGCATTGTTACTTTTCCTGTGAAATTTTCTACATCATTATAATTTAATCGTACCGTGAAATTTTTTCCTCCAGGTCGATTTGTGCAAACCTGAGTAAAATTCAAATTTTGACAATGGATCTTAGTTAAAATGTGAAGAAAAATGAATTAAATCAATTGAGAATAAATATGAATATAAAAATATTCACCCTGTATTTTACATAAGTAGAGATTGATTCTTCAGCCATTGATGATGTTGATGCGTAAGAACTGACTTTGTAACATATTAATTTAGCATTTGATTGACTAGCAACATCTAATCGGTAGGGTGAAACTTTAATAATCCAATTATCGGTTACGACAACCTTAGTAACTGTATTTGAAATTATTTGTAATTTATCTAAGCTGTAAAAAATTTTTCTTTGTAAAATCGATGTGAAATTTCAGAAGAATTGATGTCTGAACACCTTTTAAATTCTCTATTTATGTTTGCAGCAACATCCATCCACGTCTTATTTTCTTCATCACAGTATACTGATAAATTTATAGCAATGGGATGTTTAGACCAATTTGTTTGTGACCATATAAGAATTCTATACAAAGAATAAATTGGGCCAACTAGGGCACAGAGACATAGAGTCGACCAAATCGGTTGTTCAGTACCAAATAAAAGATGAATAACATCAATATGTCCAAATAAAGATAATCCAGCAACATATCCTGAAAAAAGTACGATAAATATCAATTGAATCGCGTCCTTCAAGAAATTCATCATAATTACCAAGAGGTAGAAGAGAATGTATTAGAAGAGTTAGAATACTTCTTTTGATATGGTACTGTATGAAAGCATTTGGTTCAGAACCTAACCATGAAGCAAATATTTCAGTAATCGTAATTCCTGCTGATACAAATTCTTGTGGCGGATATACAATTCCAGCCACCAATAAAGCATAAGAAATTGTAAATATAATGAAGTTTGACATTTTTCATTCAACTATGTTTATATGTATATAAATATTACAAATGTCAATGTTTAGTATTAAAAATAGATTATCCACATTTATTTTATACTCTTTTCACGTATTGTCTATTTCTATTTTTGTACTAAGTAAATATATTTCTGTCCATAATGTTATTATGCAAATAGTTTTTCCAAAAATTTAATTCTTATTAACATTTTTTTTGTATTTTTCATATATTTTTCACCATATTTTTTTGCGACACCAATCGAATAGGAACTTTACGCCATCTACATTCTACAATGGTATTTTTTTATTGGCGGTTGTAGATGTCACAACAATCGCCAATAACGGAAAATTTATTGTAAGTTTTTACGGTTGAATGAAATTTTTTACAAAAATAAGATTATTTTAATGTTAATTTCCATTTTAATTTCATAAAAATTTCTTCTACCTTTGTGAAAATAATCTTTATAGAAAGTGAGCACATAATTATGTTGTAGATGGCACTAATATTATCGTCAGTGCAATTTCCGGTCAAAGTCAAAGAAAAATCTTTATTTATCAAAACAATTACATAAATATTAATTAATTTATCAATTATAAAAAATAAAAAAGAAAATAAATAATTAACTTAAATATCCTTTTTTGTTACCTTGAATCGTTGATTTAGTTTACTTCGATTTATCATAAATTTACACTTTACTTGAACTACGTTCAATTGAAAACTTGTAATGTTTATGTGAACGAGATAAATAGAAATTATGTGTTATTTTTAACATAAAACATTAAATGGATTTAATCATAAAACAAATTTTTTATGTAAAAAAAAGATTTAACAGAAAAAGATAATTTTAATTTCAATATTAAAAAAAACTTAAAAATGATTAATTAGTATTTTCGCGCGAATTTACTTTCCACATGGGTGGTTCATTTGTGTGCTGTGTGGTACATAAAATCGGCGGGAGAATGACGTGAGCATATTTATTACCGTATTTTTTGTTGTAAATATCCATTTATAAATAGATTATTGATAATGAATGTTCATTTAAATAAGTTTATAAATTATTTTATTGTTTGTGATAGTTTTTCCTGAGAAAATTAACCAGCTCTTAACGAGACGAAAAAATTCTGTAGACGTCAAGTTATATTGGTTAAGTTAGAAGACTATCCACACTTTATTTTTATTATTACTCATTAGTTAATTATAAGAATCATGTCAGAAATTGGACCAAGTACTCCAGATCGTATAGTTCTTGGAGAATTAATTAATAGTACAAAGTTAGAGCCAATTTCACCAACAGCTAACTTACGTTTACTTACTTCATTAGCATCTAATCTAAAAAGTGTCTCTCGATCTGATCGAGAAAGTCAAAACAAAATTCAAGTCAATCAATGTTCTCCAATCGCATCTGGATCTGTTGATTCAAAAACAGGCTCTAGAAAACAAAAATCTTTAAAATTAATATGTGAAAAGTAAGTACTTTTTCATGGATAAAACAATGTAAATATTGAAGTTTAAATATTACTTGTGATATGTATCTCCATAATTTGTGTGTGTTTTTAGTTTTTTAGGCTTCTATCGCTTGGATGTTAAAAATGATGTGGTGCAGGAAATTCATTTAGACAGTACTGCTAAATCTCTAGGAACAGAGAAGCGAAGAATTTATGACATAATTAATATTTTGGAAAGTTTAGACATGGCTTCAAAAGCCGGTAAAAATCGGTATCTCTGGCATGGGCAAAATAATTTGACATCAACACTTGCAACTCTGAAGTCAAGAGCAATCAATTTAGGACTGAAAAAACGTATACAAGATATCCAAAAAACTGATAGATCATATATTGAAGAAAATGATGACAATATTTATTGTAATAATGAATCAATTACATTATGTGAAGAATTAGCTGATGAAAAAAGCTATGATAATGAGACTGCAATAAAGGAAGATAAAAGTTTGGGAGCAATGTGTCGAAAATTTATCATGTTATTTCTTGTGTCTATGAAGGTATATTAATTTTATGAAACTGGAATAATTATTCATTTAAAATGAACGAAAAAGATCTATTAATAATTTGTTTATTTTCAGAATGGTGTCATTAATTTAGACATAGCAGAAAAAGTACTGATTTCGGAATTGGACACTCCAGAAAAACTGAATACTGTATCTAGATCTCACAGAACCAAAGTTCGACGATTATATGATATTGCTAATGTTTTAACAGCTATCGGACTCATTAAAAAAGTGTCATTACCTGACAGAAATTTGAAAAAACCTATTTTTAAATATACAGGACCAGAAATTGAATCTACAAATTCCAGTCAAAGTAATTATAAATAAAAATTTTGTTAATATTACTTACACTTGGATCTATGACTCTAAACAATCTTAATTATCAATTTTTTTAGACACTCCAATTCACCAAATTTATGACTCGCCAATTAAAATGACCACTCCAAAAAAACATATCACACCACTTTCGGAACAGATGCATATTAATTCTTTAATTAATTCGGATTTTAAAAATTTATCAAATATCTCACATTCTGTTCCATCTACTGGGTATTCCCAAAATACTGTTCCACGCACTCCATTAACAGACGGACGAAGATATAGGAAAAGGAAATTATTTGAGTCAGGTAATTATTGCATGTTTACCAGTTGCTTATATATATATATATTTCTTAATTTAATCATTAAATCAAGGTGAATTTAAAATAACTCGGTAACTAATTTTCATTATTTACTCAAACAGATACATCATTCCCAAAGATTCGTAGTCTTCCAAATTTAGATAGAACTCGTTTGACTGAAGGTTTAGATGATTCATTATGTCGTGTAGTAGAAATGGAATATGAAAAAATGAATTCCAACAATGAATTACAAGAGCCGAAACCAAAAGCATGTACGAAATTATTTCCAAAATTTAATTCTGATTCATGTCTAAAAATTACAAACAGAAAAACTGTAAAACCTATTCAAGTGAGTGGAGAAATGCGTTCTTTAAATCATATCATTTCAATTTCTGACAAAGGCAATGCAACAACTATTACTTTTGAAAACTCTCCTCCAATGTCACAGACTCCAATTAAAAATAAAACGATGCAGCCTATTTCACTGGCTGCTATCATTATAGCCAATGCTAATCAAATATTAATTCCGCATAATACATCTAATATTAAAAAGAATCATGAAAAAGTATGCAATAATAAAAATCAGACTGAAGTAAAATCTGTGAAGACCATAAAAATACCTGCGTCCACAGCAAAGCCTCAGCAAGTGGCAATAGAAAAAACAAGTAATTCAGACACGAACTATGTGAAGGTGCCTGTGGGACAAGCATCAAAGCTATCACCAGGAGATATTCTAGAAGTAGTTCAGGCTGGAGAAACTTTGCAGTTAGTAACAATAAAGACCAGTAATAGTTTCAAGAATCGTTAAAAAACTAACTTATAACTTTATATATTTTTTTCTTATTAAATATTAATCATTAATTGAAAGTTTTAGTATAGTCAGTCTTAATGCTATCAGAAAACATTTTAATTTCAATTACAACAAAATTATCGAAATAATTAATCTATTTTTTTTATGATCGTTCACAACTGATTGTCACGATTAATCAATTTAATGTAAATAATGGAAAATATATTGAAGAGTATATTGATTACAGATATTTACGTTTGAATAATAATGTTGATTATATGATAATTATACTTTTGTATAACTTACAAATTGTATCTCTAATTTCATCAATCAGGTATTAAATGATTAAAATTTATCATTATTTTGTATGTAAAATATAAATATAAATTATAGATTTAATTTACAATTGAACTGTTACATTATAAACTACAGACAACTGATGAACAACATGATTAATATAGCTATATTTTGTGATGTTATTATATTTTGTAATTATAGTCTATTATTAATACAAATCTTTATAATAAAAAAATATTATTTAAATAATTATATTAAATACTTTCTTGCATTCTTTATTTTTTATCAAATATTTTTTATGATTATATGCAAAAAAAGTCTAATTCATTAGAGTAACAATACATTTTCCTATTCTTCATAATAAATAGGGCGAAACTATGCAAATTATTCACGAAATGCTTTTCTTACTCATGAATTGATATGTATATATTAATTTTCAATCTTCATTTAATGTCATTGGTGACAATAATATCTAAATAATCATAATTCATTCTTGCCAAGATAAAATCGTTGCTTTTGACATAGCCTACCAAGTAGAAGCTTCCAACAAACGCGCAGATGTCTGGATATATTTAAAGTTGAGTCAGAATCTAAAGATTCCTGCTTGGTGAAAATATTCTCCATGTAATTTTAATAAAAGAAATATTACACAACGCAATGAATTGGTGCATGTATTCAAATCATTTATTTACTTCGTCCACTCATTCATTGTAACTCACATTGCGAGAAATTAAGATAATCCATCTGGACCAACCAATTATAACTTGACCCATTTTCTTCCAACAATATTTAGAAAGATATTCACCTTGAAAATAGCGTTGTAACAGAGCATGTTGACGTTGATTGAGCCGCCAAAATTATTTTTATTTATATTATTTTTTTTTAATCAAAAATTCCTAACATAATTTTAATTTTGTCGTCAGCAACTTGAAACCTCTGCTGGAAGGAAAGAAAATGACAACTCATTATTAGATTTAAAAATATTTTTTATGGAATGCCTTTCCGATAAGATTTCTATTTCACAGTTGTTTGAAGAAATATTACTAGATTGCTAAGTTTAGATTCGAAAATTGTGGAAACTGAGAGAGAAGTGATGACTTAAAGACTTTTATTCAAAATGACGTTTCGGGCAGCGTGGGTTGTTGAGTTATACCAAGGAGTATAAAAGTCTGTTGCTCTTGGTCTCAATACTTCAGTAAACCCTCAGTTATCGTCCACGAAAAAAGTTGTATAAAAAAATGGCCCTTGAACGTCAAGTTCGTGCTAAGGTACGAAAAATTGTGATTTAGTGCAAAGCTATTGAAACACAAATTAAATAATTATTGAATAAATAAATGAAGCAAAGAGTGTTTTATTGTATTAGTTTATTATTAATTAAATTTTATATTAATTTTTAATATTAGGTATTAGCTAAACGTGATCCACAACAGGAGAAAGAAGCACAAGAATGGATTGAAACAATCCTTGGAAAAAAATTCCCTCCAGGTGAATTGTATGAAGATGTCATTCGCGATGGACAAGTTCTCTGTGAAGTTATGAACAAACTTGCTCCAGGATCTATTCCAAAAATTAACACCAGCGGTGGACAATTCAAAATGATGGAAAACATCAATAAGTAAGTTCCATTGCATATTTTTATCTCTAATTTAATGATATTAAGTAAAAAAATTTGATACCATGGTTTAAAACATTTTAATTTAAATTATTTTTCATTGTAGCTTCCAAAAAGCTATGAAAGCATATGGAGTCGCAGATGTTGATGTATTCCAGACATCAGATTTATATGAAAAGAAAGATATATCTCAAGTCACTACTTCCTTATTTGCACTTGGTCGCACGGTAACTATCAAAAATTTTAATTAAACAAAAAGCAATATAAAACATAGAAATATCGTGACTAGAAAACTTACAAATTTATCAACTAATTTTTAAAAAATGTTAGTTTAAAACAGATCCTAAAAACTAAATCATTATTTTGTTTCTTCAGTATATATTCTGAATTTTCTAATCATAATGAAGTATTGGATGGTTTAATAAATTGAATTATCTTTACAGACATATTTACATCCTGAATGGAAAGGACCTTACTTAGGACCAAAACCATCCGAAGAACACAAACGAGAATTTACAGAAGAACAATTAAGAGCTGGACAAACTATTGTTGGTCTCCAAGCTGGTTCCAACAAAGGTGCATCCCAAGCTGGACAAAATATTGGTGCTGGTCGCAAAATTATCCTTGGAAAGTAAAATCATATGAAATTTTTTCCTACTACTATTGTAAACTATATTTATTTTAATTTTTATAAATGAATATTATTAATACATGTTTAAGTGTATTATTTAATACAGTACAAGCATTGTAATCCAAATGAAATAATTCTCACCGGATATTTTTTTATAAATAACGTATCATTTACTCAGTCTTTCATCAGTCATCTTTCAAAAATTTAAATAAAAAATGTAAAATAAATTGGGCAATAAAAATTGATATGACCTCATTTTTTCAAGACACAGCAATAACGTCGTAAATAAAAAATTCTAACATTTACATGGAATTTACGCGGTCAAAACGTCAGTTATTATGGTTTAGGTTGACCTTGGGATTATTTATATTTAATCCAGGACATTTCACAGAGTAAGACAAATTTATAAAAACATTGACAATAAATCTTTCAATATTTCGAGCTTGAATGTAACAAAATTCGATGACAACTTATTTACAACATATTTATATTAATAATTTTGAGAAATTATAATGAACATGAGTAACATTATTTCTAAAAAAAATCGATACAGTCGATTTAAACATTTTATCTAAAATTTCTCAACTTTGTGAAAATAAACATTGTTTGTTTATCTGGTTCAAATATGTGCAATTACACGTTTCGTTGATTCTTTATCTTTCTTTCTAAAAGTAGAGAAGTGAATCGTGTGGGTTATTTGTCAGACGGCTGACTGCAAGCGTTGCAAATCTACTTGAAGATGTCGTTACGTGTGGCTGATTGCATCATTTGTATATGCACTAATTGTAATTAAATCCACATTTTAACATAAAATTGATTACTTTTAATAATAGCATAAAATTTTTTAAATTTCCATTGTTCCAATATTTTTTTCCGTATATATTTTTCCTTATTCTATTGTACTGTGAATATAGAAAGTTAAAATGTTAATTTTGATCATCATTTTCTGATCGAAAGTTAATTAACTTTCGAATGCGATATTTCTAATTATGAAAATGACATTAGCAATTTTGAAAAATAATCAAAAATATACTTAAAGGAATGGGAATTTCCGGCCATTCACAATCGAATTAAAACTCTCAAATGAACAGTAGTAATTGAGTTAATCTCTTTTATCTTATAAGCAACCGGAAATTGATTCATTGGCTTAAGTTACAATATGATTTCCAATCACTGTCTCCTAAGTAATAAATATTCAAGTGATTGATGAATTTTTAAGTCACAGTTGAGCTGTCAATATCTTGATAAACTTCATATTATTATTACAGGTATATGAGATATCTTAATCTCTGGTCTGTTGATAATATAACAAAATTATAACTTTGTGTAAAATAATTTTACATTGTCACCAAATCTTGACATTTAACAGACGAGAGTGGCATGATTGTTATAGTGAGACAAATGTCATTAATTTACGTAAATATTTATAGAGTCTCTCTTGGCTTCGACTTTGTTTTGTGTTGAGTATATTGTCCTCTTATTTCATCAAATATTTCATAACAAATCTTTCATTTTTGTGAATAACGATAACTAATGTGTTATTTAATAATATCAACTTAACTAACATAATATTACATTTTTACACAATATTGTTTACTTCTTCAAAATGTAATTTTTATTCATGTATTTTTCCATTAACTTCTTTTTAATACTAGAGATAAATATTTTTTTAAATTTTACGTAATTAATTATTTTATTCAAGAATAATAATAATAACGAAAGTAGTAGTAATAACTAGAATAATAATTTTACAACCAAAGTTAACTGATGGTAAAATCACTATTCACTTTTGACTTAGCTTATACTGCTAAAGTTCGATTCAATTTCATCTGCAACTGATAGAGAAATTTTTCAAAATAATTTATTTTATTCTAAAATATTGAAAAATGTTAAAAAAAATCATCAACAATTTGGAATAAAAAATTTTTTTATTATCAGTTAAACAAAGTATTTCAATTTTAAAAATAGAATTAAAAATTTTTTTCACTATTTAATTGCACTTTTTATTAACAAACGATTCACAAATCAGAAATAATTAATTGGCACACTTAGGCTGTTGATAATAGTACAAATCGCGTGACAACAAGAGTTTAGTAAAGGAGTCAAAGAGAGTAAAACCGGTGAGTAAGACTCATCTATACGTTCGAATGAGTCATCCAACTTCTGGTGGGATTTATAGGTATTTCTTGCGTATCTTTGCCAAGAAGTTAACTCATTTATTTTCGTTCTTATGCCATCGTAATCGCCCACATTTACGTGAAGCTGATATTACGATGATCTCTCCAAAAATTTACCGAAAGTGTTACGAGTTTAGAAACGATATGTGAATCGTTATGTCATCGAAAGAAAAAATTTGCACATATTTTGTGGATTAGTCACACAAAGCCGTTGCAATTTTTTTTTCTTTATCCCAGAGATTTATTTCCCGGATCATGAATCTCATGAAAATGACTTGTATTCAGCACAATTAACTTAAATTGTCACTCATTAGACGGAGATTTCTGTTGATTACATTACCTCATTTAATTGACAGTTACAAAAATATCTGGAAAATTTTCGAATTTTTATCTTTTTTTAATACACACTTTCCACTTGGTTGTGATCTTTTTTTAAATAAAGGCCATGCACCCTTCGAGACATCTTGTTACTCTTGTTCTATATCGAGATTCTTAAGATATTGTCACTCATAAATAAACACCTCGACAAAATCTACAAAAATAAATACATTTATTTAATCAATGATCATTGAAAGAATATTATTTTTCATCTTTTTATTAAATGAATAAAGTTAATTGTTGATTAAAAAATTGTTAATACTGAATTTTCATTCTTGAAATTTATATTGAACTTTTAGAAACCAGATAAAATTCAGATGAATTATTTCTCAGGGATATTTTCGAATAATTTTAAATTGATATTACATAAGAAAATATTTAATCCAATAATTCATAGAGAATACTTTGATTTTCCAAATAATATCTTTCTTTTTATAAAATCATCTCAATAAACAATATACAACAAGCATAAACTAAGATTACATTTTTTTCTTCTTAAATTAATTTCTTTCAATTACTTCAAATCCGTTAAATAAAAGCACTTGTAAGATTTTTTTATTGCTATAAAAATAAAATTAAAATAAATTATTTTATGAATATTTTCACTAAATTTTCATTTCGCCCAAGGACGCTTGTTCAATCCAAAAATATGCGTTGAGTTACTTAGTCGTAAAACCACACGATGGCCAAAAATCGGTTGTGGTAGAGCAGAGAAAGATATATAATTTATTATCACATTAATTCAACCATATATTGTTTTTTCTTCTAAAACTTTTTTTATTAATGAATCCAATATAAGTAACAGAGTTGAAGATACTCGTAAATATTTCATCAATTAATACCCATATATGTGGCTTTGTTCCAAACATTTAGAACTGTTTGAATGCTAAAATAAAGAAAAATCTCTATGATTCAAATTTTATCGTAAGAAAGTGTCGTTTAAGATTTGAAATGAGTCACTCGCATGTGCAAGTAATGTCTCGAGGGCGTCTGCTAGTCACATGCTAAATTTGGTTACCTTAGAACGAGGATTGTATTACGTGTGGAGTACTCTAATATTTCGGTTTTCTCTCGGTATGCCGTCGCTTCTGGTAGTGTTGTTTTGTACTTTTAGCATCAATTTATATTCATAAATACAAATAAAACACTTTATTATTATTATTATATTACCATCCTTAACGTCATGAAGCTCGATGAATATTAGTATAAGCTTTTAGATTTAATAATATTTTGGGTGATCTGTTCTTATAAAAACATTCGTAACTTTAATTTGAAATGATATAAATTGGCTCATTAAATAGATATGTTCATTTACAACTCGATAAACATATCAATGATCTTGAGAGAAACTTAACACAAGCACTTCACATATGCATTGATAATTCCTTCATTTCCTCGCTTCTCGAATTATCGAAATGCCTTAACTAATTATAGAATGAATCGTGTAAGACGGTCTCTTGGTTAAAACTTCTTATGCCTTGTATTACACAGCATTCCAAAAAAAAATTTTGATTACATAAATTTGTTAGTTTTAAAAAAGTAAAAATGAAAATTATTATTTTATTAAATTCATCTTTATTTTAATCAACGTTCGACTTTATATTTGAATTATTAAAAATCAGTTATTCTAAATTATTTAAAGATTTTTGGATTTATAAAAGTTTCCATTGTTCTTTCATCATTTATCTTTAGATAGAAAACGATGGATGCATTAAAGAATGAAAGAATAAGATATTTATTTATCTGATTTAATTTATTAAGAAATATTATTTTTTATTTTAATTAATAATAATTTTTTTGAGATAATTTTATCTTGTATGAAAACGGTAAAAACTTTTCAACAATTAATCGATAATTTATAAACGTCTCTTAATTAGAAAATATTAATTTTAATCTATTTTAGTGAGATGTAATTTTCTTAATTTCATTAAAACATTAAATTAATATTAAATTGTTCTCATTTATTTGATAATAAAGTGATTTTTTCTCTGTATCATTATTAAATTTTGTTGAAACAAAAACTATAATAATAAAGACGTTTCTTTAGTCAAAATGAATTTAATCAAAATAATGAATGTTAAAATCTTATTTATTAATTATTAGAAGGATCAGAAAGTGTATTTTCTTTTTTTAAAATAAATATATAATACTTCTTCGATCTGTTGAAAGACTTCACATTCTTAAAAATGATTAAATTAATAATAAAAATAAAATTTTCTTTCAATGATTATCATTTAATATTAAACAGTAATTAACAAAATATTTTTTGACAAAATTACCTTGTTTATCAGTGCTATTTGTGTAGGTTTTGTTATAATTTCATGAGAGATGATCGCATCATTCATTCATTCTTCCTTAGTATTGAGGTAATCACACTTTAGTACAACCTCAAGACTATTTAATTTCAAGACATTCTTGAAATCGTCATAACAAACAAAAAGTGCACAAAAAATTATTTAACTAACTCCAAGCTGGCATGTTGAAATTTTTTGTATTTTCCGCAAGAACAACTTTAATCCATTTACTGCTGGTGGATTCGTCTGGCTTATACACATACACATAATGTGTAAGAGCGTGAACATTGTCGACCACATTATGCGTTTGGTCTATATACTATATGCAATTCACAATCTTCTGAGCTTTATTCTATCCGCGTATGTTATCTCTGCATTTCTCTCTACAATAACGTTCGTCTATGCCACTTCTATTTACTCGTTCTCGCTCGTTCACCCACCGTTTTCCGTATTTACTTCATGCTAACCCCCGTCGCTAAAGTCCATCTGCATAACATTTTTTCATTCTTTACCTATCTCGTATGAGAGCCAGTTATTCTACGATTTTATTATGTCAACCACGGTCTTCTAGACTTATCAATAAAAAAGTATCTTTTCTTCATAATTAATCTTTTTTTTTTCAACATACTTTATTGACATATAATTGCATATATTCCAGAAACTATTAATATAAGAAGTGGCTATATTTTGAAGGAAGAATATAATCCAAAAAGTCAAAAGGTGTTTTCGAGTAAATATTATTTAAATATTTTCTAAAAAATTCTTTAGAATATTTAACAAAGTAAAATTTATTATTTCTGGTATAATTCATGACTCTTTTACGTATCGAAATCTTGGGAGTTATCTTTAAAAAAGTTTGAACGGATCTTGAGAAGATTGGATGTAAAAGAACTATTTTATTTTTAATCTTATAAAATATACAGTAAAAAATGTTAGCTTAAAATGAGAGTTGTTTTTTTACAAACTGATAAAAATAGTATAAATTAATGACACTATTAACTTGATGATTGAGTGTTCTGATTTAATTGTTTTAATACTACTTTTGATATGATAGGTATGATAGCTCACAATAATTATCTAATATATCCTTTAATAAATACTTACAACAGTGAATATATGATTAAAGACTGAATTTTTTTATACTAACTTTCCCTTATATGATAATATGTCAGTAGGAGGATCAGGGCTAAAAATAATGCAGAGTAAATATTACTAGTAGATTTAAAAGAGATTTAAAAGATGCCTAAAATAAATGAGTTAAATCTCGTAATATGATCGACGTAATTGTGAATAGATACTTTAACTATTATAAATAAACAGTCAACACAATTGAATTTGAAATATACATACATTTATCTTTATTTTTATACTCAATAACAAATTCGTTGGTTTACATAACTGTATTAAAGAATCAAAATTAAATAGAAATAACCACTAAATTCTTGTATATGAACTCCTACTCTTCATTATTTTTTTAATACAAGAAAATTCCAAGTAACTTAAAATATAAAGATATTTTTGAAAATTTTGTGGTATAAGTTATTTAAATATTCTTCAAATTCTGGCAAGGAAATTTTACAAAAAATCATTTGGTCTTATGTTATTATAGTTCAGTGAACTTGATTAAAAATTTAATTAGGTTCGATTTTTTTTTCAAATGTCAATGAAAAGAATTGAACCAGGTGTTGTTGATGTTTCTAATAGGATATTTATTTAAGTAAGATCAGCATTTTACAGCTAGATGATTGAGACAAAAAAAATAATAGCAAATTTTCTCCATATTCATTTTTTCTTTAAGTTATTGTAATTATGAGAAATTAAAACATATCTTTGTTCTCTAACGTTAATTATTTATAATTCTTAACTAACTTCTAGTGAATTATGCTTCTCACTAATTTCAAATAAAAATCTTTGATGAGAAATTTGATAAAATTGAACGACAAAATGGTTCATAAATATATTTGAAGTAATATTAAATCAAGTAAAGCATTTTTAAATTATTCAAGAAAGTTTACGAAATATTCAAAACCACCAGGTATAATTCGAACTACATAAAAAGCACCTGAAGATTTATAACACGTTTTAGAATATCGTTTTAAGTGAATAGGGATAATAAAATATCAACTGATGATATAAAAGGATTGTTATTATCTTAATAAATATATTACTATGTCAGATTCAATTGAAAACAAATTGAAAACATGAAACTGTCAGTCCAACGACTCAAGATCAGAATCTGAGGTCAGCGTGCTCGTGCATTTTCTCGACATTGCATTACGTCCAACAATTGTATGAGTCTAATAGGTATTTTAAAATAAATATTCAAAATAACTTGCCAAAAATAACGATTGTTTTATTTTTGTATTACCAATGTATTTTTAAATTACACAATCAACAATTAATTTATGTACTGCTAACAAATTTTATTAATGAGAACTACTTATCGATTTATCATTAGAACAATGAAAATAATTCCTCAATCTAGATTTATCAACTTTCAAACAATAAATAAAGTTTACACAAAATCATTTTCATCACTAGAAATTACAACATTCAACATCATCGATGAAAAATGAATAATAAACAAATCAATTTGACCCGTGATTGATGATAAAATTCATTTCATAACAAATTTGAATTTAAATCACTGGTATTTATTTATATTGAATACAAATCTAAGAAATAAACAAATACAATTAAAAGAATAATTAAAAACTTTACAATGAATACATTAACAATGCGTGAGTAAATGTACATTAAAGTTTTCTAGGGAATGTAAAAGAAGATAAAATTAAAGCAAAAGAGGATGCATAAAGCAATAAATAAAAATGGTATTCAATCAGGTAGAGCATTAAAAGCTCGAGCAAGATCACACGTGTGCATCCAGCACGCGACACAACGTTGACTCTTCTCATATACATACATGAGCATACGGGGGAGTTTAGATTATAAACGGGGAATACTTAAGCATGTAAGATGGATCTGGACTGAATATAACGAAGGGACAGAGGAGTTGACGCTAGAAATAGAAATTTGAGCAAGTAACTATTAATAGTAGATGAGTGCGTGCCGTTACTTCTCTCTCTCTCCCTTTTTTCTTTCTATTTCACTCATACATCACGTCCCCGTTCCCTCTTTTCACTGACCACCCACTCAAAGAGGTAGTCCAGCCACTCATAGTAATTATTTTATCTTATTCCCACGTATTTTTTTCTGGTTAATTTCCCGCTCTTTTTGCCTACAACACTCTCGTTGGTAGGTTCCCTTCCAAGCCCTTAAATCATCCCCTCTTCTTAGAGCTTCACTTTCCTCTCCGTTGATTGCACTCCGCCCGGCTTTTGCCGCCATTCTAATTCCCCTTCACCTCACCACCATTCCTTGTCCATCTTCTTACCGCCACTGACGTTTCGATGCACGTGCCGTGTGCAAAGCTCGGTATGACTAGGACGAGCTCGCGGCGAAAACAGCCATTCGAATCCAGTATTAGTGCGGTGCAGAGTGTAAACGGTGTCTATCTAAACCTATCGCTCCGAGAATTTCATTTGCCCTCGATCGATATACCTAGTGGTGAGTACAAGATACAACCATTCAGAGCCGACACATTGAGAGTGAGAATGAGCGAATGAGAACCACTGCCTTCGTATGATCAATTATGAGCTTTTTTCAAATCATCGTGAACACATCGTGACCAGTAAATACATAGTGATCATCATTATCTTGCATAAATAAATGTGACAATAAAATTTCTTTTCTATTACATATGAGTTTTGTCGAAAGAAAATACATATGAGCTTTAAAGCTGAAAGCTCGAGGAGATCATCAGCGGGAAAAAGACACCCGTGCGCGGTCGAGGACGTACCTTCCCTAATACGGCGTCGCCGGGTTGCCGGCCTACGATTTAGCTTGCGCTGCACGGATATAGAACCGCCTGCCTCCCTCCCCTCGTCATATCACCCGCTCTCTTCCCTCTATAACTTAAGTCTTACTCCATACTTTACTTTTCCTGACTGGTTCAACTCGAGTGCAAGAAACATGCTCGAAAATAGACCTACAACACGCGCCAAATTACCGGTCAATTGTTTACAATTCTATCTTGTTTGTTTCTCCTTTTTCATGCCACTTAAATTTTAAATTAATTATTATCGTCATTTTAATGTTTTTACTTCTTTCCCTCCGATGAGCTTAATGGCATAAAACGTTAATTATTTATCTCAATTCTATATTCAAATCGACAGAATTAAATAATCCGACTCAGCTTCCGTGCTTTCGTGTTACGGAGGAGTCACGGAAATAGAATAGGATTACAGCGTTAGTATTTTTGGAAATTTTTGAAACGATGAGAAGAAATATTATCTCGCTTAAAACATGTAAATTTAGTTATTTCCATTCTTTTTATTATTTTTTTTTTTTATTAAAAGTTAATTTTTGAATCATTATTCTTAGTTTTGGAAAACTTGAAATTTTTTTTTGTCGAATCATTAGTAAATTAATAATTATTTCAACGTTTAAAATAATCGAGTAATGATGATCATAATTTAATTTTTGATTGAATGCATCGTAATTAAACATTTTATAATGAAAAAAAACCGTAACGTTTTTCGACGTGTTATTGAATAAATATATTTAAACTTGAATAATGAAGTAAATAAAAAAGCAGCATTCGTTAATTAGCTATCGATATATCAAACAGAAATTAACAGATGTATTTTTGTAATTAGCTAGAACTTTTGAATAACGGAAAAGTTAAATTGAAAAAAGAAAGCACACGATTATTGTGGCTGATTCGCAGATGAAGTAGTCACGGCCACAATAATCAGACATGAGTGTCTGATTATTGTCCGTGATTCTACTTGTAATGTAGTTACGAGAATCAATGTAACGCTCAATTGATTTTATATATATATTTAATATTACTTACAATAATTGCAGCATAAACGAAAATGCCTTTCAAGCCAGTAGAAAATCCAAAATGCCCCAAATGCGGCAAATCCGTTTATGCCGCAGAAGAACGTGTTGCTGGAGGACTCAAATGGCATAAAATGTGCTTCAAATGCGGTAAGTCTCTTATCTTAACAAATAATTAAATATTTTGAACAATTTCCATTTCAACTGCATGGTAAAATCCATTAAAAATTAACATATATTCGTAAATTATTTTTCCGAATTTTAATTGAAATTTAGATCACTATTCTCTCTTAAACTGAATCAGTGAAAATTACTGCAAATCAGTTAATATTTATTGGTTCACTTAAGACAGTTGATCGTCAATAAATAATTGGTTAAATTAATTCTCAAACATAATTTAATTATGTTTATGTCTTGAATTCAATAATATTTTTTCAATTATAATAATCAGATTATAATAATAAATAATAATAATAATAATAATAATAATAATAATAATGCGAATATGATTCAGTTTTCTGGAATTTCGTCTCTCAAAATAAAAAAGAGATTAGATATTCAATTAATAATAAAAATTTCAAGATGAATTTCTTCTATATATTTCTTTCATAAAATATTTTTTTAATTATTTCAACGGAAACTCATTAAATTTTAGACATCCTACTCAAAGGATAAACTATAGAAATAGATTTCCAACAATTCAGTTCATCAAATACACCAAAAAAGTATAATAAATCTCTTCAATGACTTTTCTCTTAGCTACTAATAACTCATTTTCTATTCTAACCTATATTTTATTTAAACAAGATTCATCTATTCATTTTTTAGAACTTTATGTTTAATAAATACACTTTAAATTTTACTTATAAATATCTGACAAAATTTAAATATATAATCAACCTTTCTCAGTTTCATTGAAAATTTTTATTTTTAGAGTTAAAATTACTCTCGTTGTAAAGTGAACTTCTTTTATTAACTTAGTAAAAAAAAATGATAAAAAATTATATTGTTTCAGGTTTGTGTGGTAAACTCCTCGACTCGACAAACTGCTCCGAGCACGAAGGTGAGCTTTTCTGCAAAGTCTGCCACGCCCGGAAATTCGGTCCCAAGGGTTACGGATTTGGTGGTGGTGCAGGCTGCCTATCCATGGATCAAGGCGAGCACCTGCAGAGAGAGTGAGTGCCGCAAGGAGATCGCCCCCGTTGCGTCTCCCGACAGTCATGTCCTGAGATCCATCTACCCCCCAACCCCCTCAGCCTTTTTCAACGTACAAAATTACCCCTGTAAATACCTACATCGCGAAATACCGATCATTCTGCATCAAATCCTAACGATTGTTTGTTCAATTACAGTAAACTATTCGATTAAATTTATTACCGATTTACAACACACGTAAAGAAAAAAGAGTTAATATTTCTCTTCAATAATCAATCGTTACAATTATTGATTATATGTGTGAATTGTAAGGAAAAAATATCAAAAATCGATAATAATTTTAATTATGAATAGCACTTTTATCCCCCTTCAACCCCATGTTTTCTTGTATTTAATTGAGAAAATTTCAAATCCGAGACGACTAACATGAAATAAAATTAATGAATTGACCTCTTATTTATTTTGATAAATTTTGTTCCAATATGACAAATAATTTTTAATTGTATTGTGCCCTTTTTTTTAAAATGTGCATAATGAATCTTACGAGACATAAGCACTTTAAATAATATAACGGTAATATTTGAATTATTGTGATGAAACTAGTTCGGAGCGAGTATGTTTTTTTGTTTCATTTGTTGTCTCTCTTTCGTACAATTGTTTTCACTGTATTACATTTCCTTCTATTATTTATTTATATACATTGTTTATCAACATAAAGAAAAACAACACACTTATTATGACTTTAGACAATGCTTGAAAGAATAATTATAACACTATTAAAAAAATATACTGTTATTGACAAAATTAATTTATTAATTAAGCCAACAGAGAATTATAATGATTATTATTTACACATCTACACAAACAATACTGACAAAAAAATAGTTTTAGGATAATTTGTACCACCTGTAATAAATGCATCATTAAATGTGATTACCAAAAAAAAACCAAGAATAATTTCAACATATTTTTACCTTTTTATTAATCTTTATTTTTACTAGAATTATAGGTTTTGTCGTAGTGATGAGATAATAATTAGAAATAAATTATCTCAAAACACTGAATAACACTGTGAATGTGAATGAGGATTTTTCCACTTTGTTTTTGTGTTTTTTTCCTCATCAAGTTTTTTATTATCAACAAAAGACAAATACCAAAAAAAAAACAGACAAATTTCCTTCTAAAGTTCAATGGATTGAAATGAATACCAAAAAAAAGAATGCCTACACCCGCCCCCGCCAGCCCCGCCGAGTTCGAGCCATCGGAGGCCCATTGATAAATCCGAATCACACCCACACACATGCATTCGTGACTATAATGGTGAGCACCGAGAAAAATAATTGCCAATTCCGCGTGATAAAGCTTACCCACGTATAAAAATCCTGCACGGCCTTTTTTTATATTTATTTCAATAGTCTCTTTTTATTATTCTGGAATTTTTATTATTTATTTATCTATCCACGTAAAAATAATTTCATTATTTTTAATTACAGATTTAATCGAATTTTCAATAATCGATTGAATTTGTTTAGTCATACTCGAAAAAAAATTCAAAAAAAAGGATTCGAATGTTAATTAAAATTTGTTTTTAAATTCTTTTTTTATTCACAATAAAAATCTAATGAGAACAAAATATTGATTTTCGAATTTCAATTATCAAAGATGATTCTTTATATTTCAATTTTTTAAATCTTTTATAAAAAATCAAAACAATTCATATTTTTCTTTTAAAATCAGTTTTAAAGCTGTATAAAAAAGGAATTTAAATGATAAAACATTTTTTTTCTTTAGATAAAATTTTTTATGTGGAAAAGATAAATAAATATACAACTTGCAAACCTTTGATTATTTAAAACGACTAATCCATTGTTTTGAACCGATTAACTCTCGATATTTTAACGGACCCAACCAAGCCGGTCCAGCCCGCAGAAGCCTCGTTCAAATTCTTCACCATTTGTATCTTCTTGCCATTCTTTCTCACTTTCCAATCAAAATTTCTCTTTCTTCTTACTATCTTATTTCAGACTGCAATCTTTCAATTGGACTTATTGTTAACTGAAAGAATGTATTTCATTACCTTGTAATTATCTTCCGCGCTTTCTTCCCTTTCTATAATTTAATGTGATGATTTTTATCAATAAATGACAATTCTTTAATTGTCATGTGCTTTTTGGCTCTCCTCTCGGGGCTCGGCGGAAGTGACTCGCGTGGTCGGGGTAATTCTACTAACCATAAACTAACTTACAATCTTCATCTAACAACATTATGCTGTCGGGATTATTAGTCATTTATTGTTAAAATATTTCTATCATTATTTCATGTAGTTGACTTCATTCTATTATTTAATATCAATTACTTTTTATATTTTATTACTTTCCTTTATGCTATTCTGTATCTAATGAATTGGCGTAATTTCTTTTTGAACTTTGCTGCTTCTTTTTCTATTAATTTGATTTAAATTAATAGAGTAAAATTGAATATAATGCTGTATAAGAAAATGCTTTTTGCTATTTTTCATAAAAATAAACCATTTTTTCTTTTATTTTTAGAAGGGAAAAATGTTGGTTTTAAAATTTTTAAATAATATTTTTATATATAACTGATTATTAATTAATAACTATACTCTCATTTAAATTCAGATGAACTAAATAATTTTTTCATTTACAGTGGTGACTTTTCAAGAGGATCTAATGCAGTATTAGAACCCCGTGCAATTGCCAAAGCTCCAGAAGGTGAGGGATGTCCACGGTGTGGAGGATTTGTTTATGCAGCAGAACAAATGCTTGCAAGAGGAAGAGTGAGTACATGAAATAGATAAAAACTATAATATTTAATTATATATATTTTTATAATCATCACTATTATGTAAATTATTTATAATAGAGCTTTGATAAGTGCCGTGAATTTCGTGAAATCTGAGGATCATTTATAGATATGTGTAGGATATAGTTCAAGGAATATTAGCATGAAAATAATTTTGATGGAAAATTTTCGTGCTTGAGTTATCGTTGGTGGCGGCCCAAAAAAGAGTTCGACTACTTGGCGCTGTAGCCAAATGTGGTTTTAGTGTATACTACATGTGCTATATGTGTACTTGATACATCTAGCACATAGCAACGAAATTGAAAAATAGACCAAGCCAAGAAAGAGAAATTAAACGGGCAAACTTAATTGTCAGTGTTATTAGATTCTTTGCCAATATCTACTACACAAATTGCGTGGATTATTACTCTATGATAATAGTAGTGATGATTATAAGTAATAATTAATAAGATTTATTTACTATCGAAATAATTAAAAAATTTTCATCTAAAAAAATCTTACGTTTGAGTAAAGAAAAATAATTGCTGATATTTTTTTGCAAAAAATCAAACACAAAACGATGATTTAAAAAAATCAATAATATTAGATTGTAAGAAAATCCAACGATAAATATGAAACCGTGCGTGAGTACTTCCCAAACCCGTTGTCATTATGTTTCCTGAATTCTTATGACTAGGCCTACCATAAGGCATGCTTCAAGTGCAAAATTTGCCAGCGGACACTGGACTCTACGCTTCATTGCGATGGTCCGGATCGCGAAGTATATTGCCGAGGTATCATTCGTAGAAACCACAAAAATATCACATTTTAAGTTTTTTTTTCTATAATTATGTTTAAATAATTACTTCACATTTTTTTTTCGTTTTTTCCATCCCCATTCTAATGATTTAAAATATTTCTATGGAATATAAACACACATTCCAGAAAATTAAAAATAAATAAACTTACTGCACGTTGATAAGTCAACAGTGATATAAAAAATATTCACGAAATAATTGTTAAATAATTTTAAAATATCTCTACAAGTGACTAACCATTGATTGACTTGAAAAATAAACCCATCTTTGTGTCTAATGTATAGCAATGGCACAGAGAATGTTTTAAATGTGGCACCTGTTCCAAAAGATTAGACTCCGTCAACTGTTGTGAGGGTCCAGACAAGGATATTTACTGCAAAGGTGAGAAGAAAATAGATAAAATACATCTCAGTCACAAGTTACGAGACATTCATTAAAAGCTTGATATTACTGTCAGCTTGAAATAAAAAAATTCAAGTGTTAATTTATAGTTAATTTAATCAACTGCGACAATCTTTCAAAAATACAAAATGTCGCTTGTAAAAAATTAATCATGTCATGATATTCAATTTCAATGATATTATAGCTGAAAAAAGCTAAAAACATAAAAATAAGTAATTTAGAGAACATTGTTATAATAAATTAGTTTCATTTTTGTATTAAATATAAAAGAGAATCAATGTATTTATTATTTCCATTTATTTTTTAAACTTTAATCATTGAATGATCTTGAAATATTCATTAATGGAGTACATTTGATAAGAATCTTTCTCTATGAACATTTCTCTTTTAAGTATTAATTTGATTTATTTCCATTATAAAGATAATTAGTTTTGTTTAATATAATAAACAAATGTCGGTTTAAAATCAATTTAAACTATTTTAAAAAAATTTGAGTCAAGAAATGAATATTCTTCATTACTTAGCAAAGATTTAATTATTTTTTTCAAACCATTACTGACACTGCAAATCTAAAATTTGAAAGTGTTTTAAATTAAAACACCACGATTTGCAGTGGAATTAACGATTTTTTAACATTTTTAAAAATTATTCGATTTTTTATTCAACCATTTCTTTATTGATTTGAATAGACAAAAGTAATCATATAAATTATAATTTAATGATGATCACATCCAGCATGATAGAACCTTTATCACAACTGTATTTTTAGAATAATTATTCTTAGTAAGCTTGGAGATGAAAATTAATAGAATTATCTGTAAACAATTATTCAAATAATAATAATAATAATGGACTCTAAAGTACTTTATTTTATTGTCAAAGCCAATAGAAATTTTTTATAAAATTTAAAATGATTAAAAAAAGTATCGTAACTTGACTAAACATAAACACTAAAAATCCTGGTTAACAAAAATTTTGTTCAGTTTGTTATGGCAAGAAGTTCGGTCCAAAGGGTTACGGATACGGTCAGGGCGGTGGTGCCCTTCAAAGTGACTGCTACGCTAACGGGTGGGTTTATTAGAACAATTCAAAAACTATCAGCTTTCACAACCATAACTCATGTATTTATATATTTTGAGAGCAAACTAAACTCAAAAATAAGAACAATTTAATTTGAAATTATTTCTCCGTAAAATAGCAAAAAAAAACTTTAAGGACATAGTAAAATTTTTGCCTTGGCTTTATTACGCTCTTATAATTATAAAAACAAAAAAACAAACAATTCCGCTTCTTTGCTTAACAGCTTGCTATCCGAAGAAATTCGGGCCGCGGGGCATTGGTCATGCGGGGCTAGTATGGCTCGGGCTGCAGTGCGACGTTGAGGACGAATGGTACGCGCGTCCTATAACTCTGAAACCATAAATGTTATGTGTTTTTCCTTTGCATATTTTGGATTTTTGAATCATCAATAAGAGAAAGAAGCTTTTTTTATGATTATTCCAAAGAATATTGTCATATATTCCATCATTTTTCAACAATAATAAAAAAACATAATTAGTTTAATTCTTTTCTTAATGTAATGGAATGAAAAAGATCCTTGATTAAATAAATCTTTGGGTTTGCAAACCTAATTATTTGTTTGGTGATAATTTAATATTCGCTTATACTGTAACTAATGTATGAATTCTTTTTTAACTCCCTTGTTATAAGATATTTAATTTCAAATCTGATCACCATCATCAAGTAATGATCATCTTTTCCTTGGACTTGAATTTTTCAGACACAAATCTAACATATTGAAATTAAATACCTTATCCACAAATTTGTTTTAAACAAATATTTAGTTGCATGCCTGAGAGTTTTTTTTTACTTTGATTGAAAAAAAATGTATGAACACAAAGGAAATATTTCAATAAATCAATTAAATTCCATTAGCGATGCAGCTCCTCGCACGACTGTGATTGATACTGCAGCAATAAAAGCACCACCAGGTAAAGGTTGTCCTCGTTGTGGTGGAGTAGTCTTTGCTGCTGAACAAGTGTTAGCCAAAGGAAGAGAATGGCATAGAAAATGTTTCAAATGTCATGATTGTACGAAAACACTTGATTCAATAATTGCTTGTGATGGTCCAGACAAAGATGTTTATTGTAAAACTTGTTATGGAAAAAAATGGGGCCCTCATGGTTATGGATTTGCTTGTGGATCAGGATTTTTACAGACCGATGGATTGACGTAAGTAGAGATGAAAAAAAATATTTTCTTCATCACTATTAATATAGAAAGTTAATGAATATTTTAAATTTATAGAGAAGAAGAACTGTCAGCCAGCAGACCCTTCTACAATCCTGATACAACTTCAATAAAAGCTCCAGAAGGTCAAGGGTGTCCTCGTTGTGGTGGAATGGTCTTCGCAGCTGAGCAACAGCTTGCTAAAGGAACAATGTGGCACAAAAAATGCTTCAATTGTGCTGAATGCCATCGACCTCTTGATTCAATGCTTGCTTGTGATGGACCTGATAAAGAAATCCATTGTCGTGCATGTTATGGTAAACTTTTTGGGCCCAAAGGCTTTGGATTTGGTCACACTCCAACTTTAGTTTCTACGAATGGAGACACTGCCCCTTCATAGTATGTTTCTGCTTGATTTTTATTAAAGAATATAACGAAATTTTAAATTTAATACAATGTTCATTTAGTATGTCGTTAAATTAATAAACTTGAATTCAATTTATTTAGTATCGACGCTAAGCCCCAAGTTGGATCAAAAAGCAGTGATGGACGTGGCTGTGCGCGATGTGGATATCCAGTTTACGCTGCCGAACAAATGATTTCAAAAGATAGAATGTGGCATAAACGTTGCTTCAGTTGTGGCGCTTGCCATCGTTCTTTAGATTCAACAAATCTTAATGACGGACCTGATGGTGATATCTATTGTCGTGGCTGTTACGGAAGGAACTTTGGACCTCGTGGAGTTGGTTTTGGAATAGGTGCTGGTACCCTAACGATGGCTTAAATATTTTAACTTAAGATTACTTCCTTCCTTTGATTTATCTATATTTAATTATTTTTTTCTGTTTTTTTTTCTTTTCATCATAAATAATAAAAAAACACTAATCAGCCGATGTAGATATCAAATCGTCAATCACCGCAAATTCGATCGAAACGAACGCGAGACGATGAACAAATTTATTTCATGTTATTTAATAACCTTCTGATGTTTATTTGTTAAGAATAAATTAAATTACGAATCGTTTAAAAGTTATTAACAAGTCGTGGGAAGCATTTTATATTTTTTTTCAATGATTTTTTTTAAACAATTTTTTTTATGTAATTCATAAAAAAAAAATTAAAATGTTGCCTTCGACAATATTAAAATACGAACGACTATTTCACAAAAGTGCGACAAATCTATTTTTTACAATTAAAATAATGCCAAGAGACTAAACTTTGATCTAAATTTAAGTAATCTTAGTGTTTCTTTCATCTAATAATATTTAATTTAATGTATTTAAATTAATTAAAAAACTTCTCTTGTAATTTAGTGCGCGTTTTCCTACAAATAAAAGGATTATAACGATATATGATCTCCAAGTCAACAGGAGTTTATGTATAATGAAAAATAATAATAAAAAATTATTTTCAATAAATATAAATTTTAAAAATAATCATTCATTTTTCATTGTAACCATTAAGTTAGTAGTGATTATAAATTATAGATGATTGTGTAAAACACTGATGTCATATATTTATAGCAACAAATGTACAATTTTTTTCAATCACACATTATTAATGATATAATTATTAATTGAATCCTAGTCAATAAGTAAGAGGATGACCAAGAGTTTTTATTTTAGTAACAAGAGTACGAGAAATTGCGTGACTTAGGAATAAGTTTTTTTCTAAAATAACTTCATAAAAAATGTTTGTTGAAAAAATAATTTTCTGCAATTATGATATTTATTTACTTTTAAACATTAATGATTCATAAAATTAGTATTGCAATAGTTTATTGTAAAAACATAAAAGTAAATAAAAACAAAACTATTTTTCTAATAACGCAATTTCCAACACCCTATTTATCATCATTGCAATATCACTCCAGTAACTTAATTCAATGATTCAACATTCCGGAGTTTGTATCACCAAGATAAACACTCCATCAAGTAAAAATCCCTCACCCTGTAACCCCAGAAGACCAATCAAACTCTGTGCCATATCTCCATGAATATCACATAAAGTTCATTTTTTCTTAGTAGTCGATTTCTCGCGTGCAACATTCAAACCTAAAATGAATCTATTTCTATATATACACAAAAATTGGACGTACAGTCTTGCACTTTTCGTATTCCGATAGTTCCAACAAGTTTTAGTATAGATTTGCGGTTTTTAGAGGCAGAGGATCAAGAAGATAGGGCGGTAACGTTGTAGAAAAAGGCCGGGGACTGCAAGATCCCCAGGCACCAGCTAGACTTCCACTTCCACTTGAAATACTTCCACCTCCGCTGCCACCACGTCCATTCGACGAACTACCATCGCTTTGGTTTTCTCCGCTGTGTTTTATGTTTAATAGATTGGGGTTTGTAAGTGGTTTAACTTCTGCAGAAGACAAGTGACTACTGGATGAACCTGGAGGAGTCGCAGGACTTCTTGGAGATCGCCCCTCAGCTTTTACACTATTCGACGCTGGACTAGAAGCTCCACTGTCTACTCCGACATTTGTGTTTTGACCACTGGACTTTTGTTGAGCTAATCTTTCTTGTTTTCTGAATTTCGCTCGACGATTTTGAAACCAGACCTAAAACAAATATTTTCAATAAAGAAATGAACTCTTCGGAATTTATAATCATTATTATTATTTTATGTATTAAACTGAATAGCTATCTGTGTTCAATTGATATCGATAAGAAATAAATTATTAGATGTGCGGTTTATTTAGTAAATAGAATTAATAAAGCAGATAATTGATCAGATTTGAGTGTTAGGAATAAGATATAATTGCTATTCAAAACGTAGCTTCTTAGTATAATAAAAAATAACATAATAAGAATTATTAATATTATTGTTAGATGTAAGATTTTTTGCCAGTTAACTGTAAGAAATACTAATGTAACTCAATCAATTTAATTTGATCATAAAAAAATTATCTTAAAAATTTCTTTATAAGCAAAGAATTAATGATGAAAAGTGTAAAAAAGAAGAATAAGAATTTTATCCTTTTTTTTGGTTTTTATTTTTTATCCTGCATGAGTTAATTACAAAAATACAAAGGTCTTATTTTCTTCACAATTATCTTTCGAATAGTACAAACTGGAAACATAATTAATCTCATTTTTCATAAATTTTTTAACTTTTTGGAAAAAAAAGAACAAAGCGAAGTCTTGATGACGTTGATGCACGGTAGGAAAAATGAACAATAAAGTAAAAATGCGTTCGCTTGGATGAACGAGAAACTGGACTCGTAATTGGTTCTAGTTGGCAAATGAAATATTTAACAAATAAAACAAACGAAACGACGGTGACCTGCATGTTAAAGTAGCGGATTTATTTGCTTTACCGTTAGTCCGACAGGCTCAGAGAGCGGAGAGTTTAGCGGGGTAGAGCAAAACTGTCAGACAAGGGGGTGAAAAGAGTGAAGGGAATTCCTCCTTCCGTTGAAGCTATGTGCTATGAGAATCATCGGGGGCGGACCGGAAGGGGCGGCTGCCGCCCCGGGCCTACCCGACACGCTGTCAGGACAATCTAGAGGGATGGGGTAAAGAACGGAATGGGGCAGAACACCATGACGAACGTGATTGCCCTTTCCGGACGGCAAACACGACTATTGGATTTTTATCAACCGTTGCTCGTGAATGCGACTTTCCCTCTTTCTCGCTCTCAGCATGGACGACTCGAATTAACCGCGACACCGCGTCCGATACTCCATCTTCATTTGATCAAGGACATCCCAGTTAGCAAAAAGATCCCATGAATTTTTAAATTCAAAATAAAAAGTGGGTTATTGTCTTACTAATTGAGAGTCATTTAATTAATATCTATTTTTGTATTTTTTTCGCATTCAATTTATTTAAAATATCAATAACAGATTGTTCATATTGTTATCAGCCATCCACTTCAATTTATTCAACAAAACAAGTACTTTTATTTACAGAAGAATATTAAAAAAAATTTGATAATGCTTTGATCTAATTAGAGTCTTTTAACTAAAGTAGACTTATTCAACTGAACATTTTTAAAACTCTTTTTAAATTTTTTACACGAATTAAGCTAATCTAGATAGCAAACAGCAGACTTAATCATTCGTGCTACTAATAATGATCTGCCCTATTTTGCAATGCATTCAGATCTTCAGGAAAACCTCAAAGATGACATGTGCCCCTATGTTTAGTCACACGATTGGCGTTAATGTTGAACAAACATACTGGGGTTAAATAAAATGTAACAAGACAGAGTTTAAGGGGGTACAAGTAAGGGTGACATGACAACAGTACAGAAGTACCAGTGAAGAAGAGAAAGGGGGGATGACAGATGTCCCCTTGGCAGTAGATAAATATTTAATCGAAGCTCCATAAGCTAAGCCACTGGTGCAAGCCCATGTAGAAACGCGAGAGATCGAACTCTTGTCTTCTTACTGAGCAAAACAAACGTCGTAACATCTGTGCTTTTACCAAACGTTTATTCTGTAGCTTCATGCTCGCAAAACTATTTTCTGTGAAGAATTCTTTTCTGTTATTTATTCAGGAAACTTTAGCTATCTATATCATATTTATTTGTGCTTTTCGTAGTTTTATTCGATTCCAGAATACAAATCAGCTGTAATGTTTTTTCTTTTGGGTTGGTGAATTTTTTTCTGATTTTATGAGCATCAACCCTTCTGCATCTAAATTATGATATGGCTATGAGCGTTATTGTGATTTAATATTTAAGCATTCTGTTTTTGAAAATAAATATAAGATATTTAATTCTTTAAAATAATTAAAGATAAAATTAAATACCAGGTTGTAGTGAGGTACCAATAAATTCATTATAGTCTCAATGCTAGAACTGGATTCACTTGATAATCAAATAAAACTAGTGATTTCCGATAGTTAAATTTATGACTTATATCTAATTTCCTACAAACATTTTGTAGTCCATTTAATTCATTTTAAATTTCATTTATCAGTTTCCACAATATATTGCTTCATAAAAGTTACAAGATTGACATCTATAGATAGAACTGATATATCTCTGCAAACAATCAACGAAATATTTAATTGAATGAAAAAATTTATTCATCAAAATAAAATTTAATAAAAGTTAATTAATCAAATATACTTTCATAATATTTCTAATTAAATTAAATTTTAGAAAATCAATTTTAATCAAATCAACTAGTATCATTTTGTTGTTTGGAACAAAATAACTGATTAATCATTAATGGTTCAAATTATTTAATGTGCTGAATCGATCATTAGTTCTTGAGAAAACTTTTCATTTTACTAAAAATTCCTGTTAAAAAGTCAAATTCATGTTTGAATTTGATTTAGAATTTTGTTCCAGGATTGTAATTAGCTTTAAACCTTTTGAAAAGTTTCTTTAATTCGACAGTAAACTTTACGATTGTTATTGGACATTCAAGTTACGATATCTAACATTTACGTTACTTTATCGATTTGACAAAGTAATTGGCTAATTAAAAGACACCCAAAGTCAGTAAGTAGCATGAGAGATCTGCAGGACCAGCACTGCAGTGTTCAGACAATTCAATTAAGTAGATAAATTCACGAAAGAGAAAAGATAATAGGGAGACGATTCTTTGTGAGTCCGTTTCTAGTAAAGAATCTTCCTTTATCACATTTACATTATAACATATATATCCATACAATCTATAGAGAATGTGCACTGGAAATGGTACACTGCTAGATGTGTACAGGTTCACACAAACATGTAAAAAGACGCACGAAGCAGAACGGTACTTTCTGAAGCAATAGAACTGGGCTGATGCTCGACAGGATGGTTTTTAATCACTGTAAGTGGATCTACATGGGACTTGCAATTACCCAAGGCACACTCGCGCGTACAGCTCTGCCCCTTGTGTATCAGTCACCCCGTTGCCAGCCAGGAATCGCCGCGAGAAGCCAAAAGGGAAAGAGAAAGATAAATGGAAGAGTCGAGAGGGTAACACTCTCCATTTTCCTACCATTTTCTTTTTTATTTTCATTGTTTTGTTTCTCTTCGTTTTTACTATTCCCTTATTTCTCCCATTTATTATCTTTCTTTTTTTTTTTTTGATTCCAAGAGTAGGAAAAATTATCGTTGAATTAAAATATTCTAGGGAAGTTTTATTTCTATTACTCTACTAGACTGTTTGAATGACTAGAGAGTATTATTAAGTAGGTACTTCAATTATCGATTCAGTTAGAATGGGATACATTGTTTACCGTAATCATTAATATTATTTAATCTGTTGTTATCATTTTTACTCATTTCTCAAATCCTCATTTTATAATTATATTTTTACAGAAAGCTATTGAAAATTTTACATTTATTTATCAAGAAAATTAAGAGCCTGAAATTAATATTAGTGAAAAATTTATTTATATTTATCAGTATTACGATCAGTAAATTTAAAGAAATTAAGTAAAATATTATTTTTAATTCATGTATCATAGTAGAATTATTACTTGTCAAAATGACACAACTTTCTTATGATTGAGTTTAGTAATTACTTGAAATAAATGTGTTTTTAAAAAATATCTCCATATATATATTCATCTTAGTTCTATTAAAAAACGTTGATCATTCATCACTACTGTTTATTTTATACTTCTCTTAAACTGGGCACCTTTCCATGCTCACCCAAGAAAAATAAAACCACTTGAACTAGACTTAAATGCAAAAGATTTAGATACTTTCTCGTTAATTGGATGTATACTTCTCATCTATTGTGTCTCCGACCTATCCAAATGTAATAAACGTACCAGCGGTCGATCCCTTGACCCCTCGAATTATATTACTATACACCCAGTGTAGTGATACTGAGATCTCATTGACGCGTGCCGGCGTCATGCTGTGTTGGTCTATGCTGCTAAAGTATTCATTCCTTATTTCTTTCTCTTTCTTGCCAATTGGATCCTAATCATGACTCATTCACTACCAAAATATGCAAGTTTGGTGGTGGATTTCTGTTCAATTTAGCCATCTACATACAACTGAACCTTCGGTCCTTCAGCCCAAATTACAATTCCATTAAGATCATATATTCTTATACCCTATACATAATTTAAAGCATCATTCATGCTTCTTGGTGACTGATAATACTTCAGAAAAATCAATGAGCCATTGAATCCATATCATCAATATTCAAAGTTAATTCAATACAATTTTCAATCATAACTTGAAAATAATATTCTATGAATCAATTGTCAAATCATTCTTTACTTGAAAGAAACTCAGGTAAAATGAACGAATAGGTTCGTCAATAAATTGGATTGATTATTTTGATAAATTATTAATAGCTACATTGTAAAATATAAACGAAGCATATTGAAGAATAGGAATAATTTTCAACGTTTCAATGATTTATTTCAAAATAATACCTTGGAAATTTATAACAGCATTGTTTCTCTGAAGACAAATCAGATAATAAAATTAACTCATATGAACTCAACAATAGATTATGTTTATAAAAATATTGACAAGAAATGAAGAATCACATCAAGAATAGAATTCAATTTATCAACAACCGTTCAACTGAATTTTTTTCCGCTGATGCATCTTGTATTAAATTGTTTCATTTTTATCACGTTCTACTAATATCAAAGTATAGGATTTTAATGAATTTATATCTTTCCCACGTTTCCAGATTATCGTATTTTTTATAGTTAATTTTAACTTGTTTTACCTTACGTACAGTAAATTAACAGGAAGAAGCACGACCGGAATCTTAACAAGTCGGTTAGTCCAATTTTAAGAGGTGTAGTCCTCTCACGACCACATCTACTAAAATATTTATAATCGAGCATTTAATACTCTTCGTTGCGGTTATGCTTAATGTCAGTTTCATTATAACAATTTATGTGTCGTAAAATTTACGTTGCATTACATATAATTTCACATTCTTTTTTATAAAGTCGTGTTAATTGTCAATTCACTTCAAGAAACATTCAAAATATTCAATAAAACTTGTGAAAAAATAGATCGTACAAAAATGATTTTAATTAGAAATATAAATGACACAGAATAATAAATATGATGTAAAATTTAATAATATTAAATACTACATTCAATCCTAAAAATAATAATCTCAATGAGAATCTTAATAGGCAGATTCTACACTTAATGATGTATACGTTAGCAAGGATCTAATTTTAAGACACTTCTGTCTGGTTGCTGGTTAATTGGATTACATGAACCGGGTGCTTGCACCTCACAGAGGGTATCATTTGTAAAGAGAAAGTATGATCAGCAAAGAGAGATCGAGAGAGAAAGAGAAAACATCACACAGTGAAATACGTAAAATCTTCTGTTGATCTATGATGAACGTTCCACCGACGGAACATTTTCTCTTCCTGTTTTATTCTCCTATCTATTCTGTGTATCTCCCAGTCGATCTGCGTGATATTTCTCTAATTGATTTATACGCAATCTAGTCTCGTTAATGGTTGATGCAGATCACTTCCATCAGTCTTGCACTTTCAAACTCTAATCGATTTTTTGTAGCAGCACATTTGCTGAATTATATATTGGAAATATGAAAAACACCAGACTTGAGTGTAATTGATGTTGAAATAATAATATTCAGCATTAAAAAATATTTGTATCTTGAGATTGTTTTCTCAATGCTGAAATATTAAAATCATAAAATAAATAGAAAGAATTTTTACTCAAGTATTAAATTTTTTAAAAAGAAAAATAACAAAAGGAGGTGATAAATCTTGAGTTGATGGTTCCATGATAATAAGGTGAGCAGGGTTTTCTCATCCTTAAATTGATTTTTTTCAATACTTTAATAAACCAGTCTTGAATTTTTCAAGAAATGATTCTAAAAGAGAATCGAGTAGCTCATATAAAATAAATATCCTAGGACCAACCCTTACTAGTCTAAGATCATCCGTCAAGAGCATTGGGCAATGTAATCCATCAGATCACGACTATACCTGTCCATGAGAACTTAGAGGACGGGTAATTTAATTGTAGGAGACGTCCACACAGAAACGTATCCTTAATTTTACAGCAAAGATGACTGAAAACTGTTTTCAATGAGTTCAGTATTCTCATAAAATCACAATAAAACATAAAATAATTGTCAAATTAAACAACATTGCCCACAGTCCCATATCCATTGATTCAATTCTTTCCATATTCAATTGTTTTTTCTTTGTTGATAATTATTTACTCATTTTTTCTCTAGATGCTGTTTCTATGTAATTATGTGTGTCGTACTTAAGTGTTTCTACTTGTAGTTATTAATAAATGAAAGTCATACTCCATTTTTAATACTGTCATTCATGAATTTTGTTGATATTTTATTATTTCTTCTCATCTTTTTATATTTTCAGTCATAGAAGTTAGAAAGGTGTGTTTGGAATTTAAAATATCAAACTGACAACTCAGTAATCTTACTAAGGTTCTATTGGAATATTTAGAGATATAAAACTGAAAAAAAATCAATAAATTTCAGCTCTGCTTCTTGTCTTTTTGAATTTTTTATTTCTTTGAGTCATTCTAGTTTTATTAATTTAGTATTTCAATGGTTTTTGAGTTAATCACCACTGTATTTTTTCAGCTTTAAATTGTAAATAATTGATACTTACTTGAACTCTAGCTTCCGTTAAATCAATCTTCATGGCTATTTCTTCTCTAGTGTAGATATCAGGATAATGTGTTTCTTGGAACGCGCGTTCGAGTTCTTTCAACTGGGCTGAAGTAAATGTCGTCCGTATCCGACGTTGTTTTCTTTTTTCCGCTAACCCGTCGTGACTGGAGTACGCTTTATATCCTAGACCACCTGGTGAATAATAGAAAGAAGCATCGAAAAATACATCAAATCAATATAATCGATAGTACAAATGAAACGATGTTTTGAAATTTTATATTTATTATCAGCTATAATCAGTTTAATGGAAATTTTAATAAATAATTTAAAACTAGAGCCGATATGATTGAATAATCAGTGAAACAGTTAAAATATATGTGATGATAAATAATCACATAAATGTTTTTATCTAATCTTGTAAAACATTTGTTATTATTAATTCATTGATCATGGAATTTCGTGATGAATGAATATTAATAAAGTACTTAGGATTGTTAACTAAATAAAATTGTTTATATCACCATATTCAGGCAAAGAATTAATTCTATTTTGGAGTAAAAAATTAAAAAAATAAGAAACTCAATTATTAACTAAAAGGCAAATATAAAGAAAGTAATTCTTTATAACTGTTTCTTTATTTTATTAGTTTTAAAACTAATTATGCAATAATATTATATAACATCCATAATAGGAATAATTCATCTTTTAATTTAAAAAAAAATTTGATTCATTGGTTTTAGAAAATTTTCACTTTATTTAGGAAGAGTTATTGTATTATTTCATTGAACTATTCTGCATTGAAATTCATGTATAATAAAAAATCAGTGAATATTTTTTTTTCTATCCAATCAATTCTTTTATCACAACATAAAACTTATTTAATATCAGACTTGAAGATTTTCTATAACATTTATCTTCTTGACAATATGTCTCAAGAGATGAATGAAGAATCAAATGACTACCAATGAAATAAGACATCTGAATAAGTTGAATATTGTGATTGATTAAAAAGTAGAAAATATTGAAAAAAAGTTATACGATTATTTTTAACTGATTAATCACAGAAGCAATAAGGAAGCGAGGACGTAACCATAGCAATGAGAGGGCAAGAGAGAACCATCCATTGATTTTCAGTGCCATCTTGTCGTCGTTCCTCCACCGAGTTGCCAAGCCGCTGACGGCTAGTTGGTGTCGTCTGACTACAGGTTGACTTTACTACTTAAACATACTTCTAGTGTCCGAAAGTCTAATGAGATAATAGTCTATTACCAATTAATTTTGACCTTGACTATTATGTTTTAATTTTATTAAATCATGCTTTATGAATTAATTTAATTTAATCACTAAAAAAGAATATTTAATTGAAATCTATTTCTACTAAAATAATTGAGATATTAATCGTCGATAAATGGAATTGATAGAAAATTTATATTCGTAATTAACATAATAGAATAGTTATGCATAGCAATTATAGACATAACAATGAATTTATTATGACATAATTAAATAGTAATTCAAAGTTTCTTAGATACTTTCTGTCTAGTATATTTAAAACAAATAAATGATTAATTCAAATCAATAAATATTTATTAAAACTACTTTTTAATATCATCAACATTAGTTATAGAGAGTCTTGTTCAATTTATAAATTGATTAAAGTTTCATGATACTTGGTGTATATGAAACAATGATTACTTGTTTTTACTAATGATTGTTTATAAATTTAGTGAATAAGTGTATTAAAGAACATTCTTTTTAAAGTAGAATTCTAGATCAGTAAACGATAATAATCGTCGGAAGCTTTATTACCAGGGTACAAGAGGAGTACTAATATGATTTGTCATAAAAAATCCATCAAATATTTTACATACAGTAAGTTAATGACATTTAATACTTTTTTATGTTGTATGTAAGAAATTGAGATCTTACGATACAAGTTCAACTTGTTAATTAAGAATTATAAGTAAAATAATAATATAAATTTTAATATAAAAAGTAATATTTTATGGTAAACTATAGTTAATATCAAGATTTTTATTTTAATTTTCTGCAATTTTAAATGTAGAAAAAATTTTATCCAGCTATTTAAAAAAACATTGCTGCTTTCACGTGACTTTTAATATTAAATTTTTAACGAGTATAAGTTAATAATAATATTTTTTTTGTCTTATTGCTTTTATATAAACTCATTCTTTAATAAAAAATCCAATAAAATCTCATGCATAATCACTGTCTAACTGAAAAAATATTCATCCAATAAAATTTTATTACGAAATTAACTCCATCACCATTGAATGCATTACTTTGATATCTTTAATATAAATTACTCTAGAATATTTATCGCAACAAACAAGTCAACTGATTTAAAAAATTAATTTCCAAGTACAGTCGAATTGTTTGGAAATGTTTTTCAAATAGAAAAATATTCCAAGAAAAACTTACTCTGAAGATTAATGGACTGATTGAAAATAGAAGCCGCATGTCGATGCACATCCTGGGTCCTAGCAGCCATCACAGAACAAGGGGTTGCATGGGCAGCATGATGCGCATGGGCATGAGGATGACTAGGATGGTGGGAACTGAGCGTGGGCCCATTACCAGTACTTCCTCCAGCAGAGTTTCCTGGATAACCTGCAGCTCTTGCAGCCGTATATCGGTAAGCTTGACTCATTTGTGAACACGATCCTAGATCTCCATATCCACATTGCATATCGCTTGCTGCTAGTGCACAGCTTGATGCTTCAAAGCCAGCGGCAGCCGCAGCAGCTGCTTGATTTAAATATGAGTAATCCATTGTACTGGGTCTTTTGAAGAATTGTTAATAACAGATGAATAAAAAAAAATCACTTTAATTGCTTTTATCACTTCTTCACTTCATAGTAAAATTATGAATTAAGTACCAGCTATTCATCACCATTAGACTGATGACTTTCATTGATGAATTTATTATTGCTATTTAATAATAACAATAATAATTAATGAATAATTAAACCATTGATTAATGATGAGTAAATAAATTATTTACTGATTCATGTAATTATTCAGCTAAATTTTATTTATATTTATTTAGTATCCTTCTGTTAAAAATAAAAAGGTAAAGAATGGAATGATATAAAAGTTAATAAGTATTTCAGTCATAAAGGGATACAAATGGTCATTTGCACATCTGATAAGGCCCCATAACACTATTTATTTTCTTGTAGCTCTTCTTTTAGCACGATAAAACTACTTGGTGATTTTCACTCACGTTATTGTGATTGTAGAAAGTTAAACAAGATTATAAGAAGTAAGAAACAACGATAATAAAATAATTAAATGAAATAAAAAAAGTTTTAAGACGGTGATGAGAAAAAAAAGTCAAATTATTGCTCTATTTTCTTTCTTACTTTGCTCTTAGCTTCCCCTCCTCCCGATCTATCTTTATTTCTCTAACACGGTATCTCTCTGAACCCGCGGGGTGCTTACGATATAATCGTATCAAGGCGATATCAAATTATTGCGATTATCCCGACGATAGAAAAGTTTTTCGTGCCGCTTAAGAGCACCCGAGACAACCGACTGGTGGCTCTCCTCAAAATCAAATGATAAGCTTAATTCAATAACGAACGAAGGGTGCGCGCAGAAGGCGTGGCTTTCGCGCACATCGAGATGGCCCCCGGTGGTAGTATTTGCCAACGCTTATTGGTGGATGAAAAGCCACCCTATAGCTTTTATCCTCTCCCTTGAACTCCCTCACCACCCAATGTGATCAAATCAACGCCCATCGTCAAGGGTGCTTGTTTCCACCACGCAGGTTACCCTCTTGTCTCCTCTAGACACCCAGAACCCCCGTATACTTCATTGAGGGGTGGGCGTCGTGCTAAAACGAACGCTATCGCCCGTGATGATGCCTAATGTTTCGGGGTTCGCGATTTTACGAGCCGCGAAGCATACATCTCTTTCTCTCTCTCACTTCTTCTCCTACTCTTTCATTCTTCCTCTTCATTCTGTGTTCACACGACATATCACAACTTCTCGCGCGAAATATTCGCCACCAGGAATACGCGATCGAATTGACATTTTGTGGCTTGTTGATTTAGTATTCTCTCATATGAGTGAACTAGAATCTCATTTTTATTCTATGTGGAATTACATTTTCTCTATCATTTATGCTAACGTTCATGTTTAGTTTTCTGTTTACTTTTTATCAATAGGAAAGCAATTTATATCGACGAAACAATCGTATAAATAAATAAAAAATATTTTCCAAGTGAGAATAAAAATAAATCCATTAACTGAATTATTAATGATTCTATAACTTCAAAGAAAAATAAAATAATCAAAAAATCTTGAAAAATCAATCAATTTTCAATAAATAATATTTAAGTAATTATTTAAGAAGATCAAATTAATCTAATCATTTAATGTCAAATTGAATAGCACCCCTGGAAACAACAATGCGAAAATTAATTTCGATGATAGAGTACACGAATATTGATAAAAAGCTGAGAGAAATATTATGTGACACTTGTTTCGCACTTATTCTCACGAGTGCAAACTACTGGAAACACCACCGTGAACCCTCTTTTTGTTTCATATCTCAAGGGATTGAGATCAGAATGTGTGGCACACGATGGCATGGTGTAAGCATAGTTCACAGGGATAAATTTCTACCCCCTTGACTCTTCTTACCACTTTCACCCTCTCCAACTATCGTACCTATAGATGATTTTTCCTACTTTCTCAATATGATATACACATAGATGCACGCATGTGCACGCAGTAACCCCACACGTTCCACCACTACATATGTCCTTGATTTGTCCGGAGAATAATATTCTCCTGTAAAGTTGATTAAATATTGGTTGGTGCAATCCCCGCGGGACCCTCGACAATTCGCAGGAATACAATTTAATATCTCAACACAGGGATGAGCGCCCGATCACGTTATACACCTACCCCTGTTCCTCGTGCTCCTTGTCGACGTTCTCTTTTCTCCCTACTGCTTTGTGATATCGGTGACTTATTGTTGCCAAGTGTGTAACGAGCAGTAAAAAGAGATAGAAAGTCGAGAGAGGATGTCTACTAGATTTTTTAGTTGCTATTGATCACGTGCGCGCAATATAATTGTTACCACATCCAACACTTTATGAAGAATTATTGTAATTAAACATGAGATTTATTGCTGAAAAAATATCATTATTCAATTTTGCTAAATTTGGATAGATTAATTACAAAAATTTTATGAATTATGTCACTTGTTTTGATAAAAATGACAATTGTTAAAATTATACGTCATTAAAATAAAACAAATTATTTAATCTTCATTTTCATTATTCATAATCACAAAAATAAATATGAATAAACCTTGTTTCTCTCGAATAATGATTCTTATCTGGATAAATGAAGATCAATTATACTATTTTAAATTATTATTGATGAAAACTACGAATATCGAAACGTACTTCAAATAAGTTACATTAATTAGGACATTGACATGAGCAATCAATATAATTCTGTCTTATTTGATGAAATTATCGAATTAAAGAGATATCTTAAATAATATTAAACAATTAGAACTGTTTTAGATCTCAAGCTGTATTTGTGTCGAAAAGTTCCGAAGTAGAAAATAATAAAAAGATACTTAATCAATACTTTAAGATAAAATGAAATTAGAATAAACATAGTAAATAAAATAGGAATCAGAAAAAAAATAAAAATATAAAATTAAATTAAAATATTCTATAAATAATTATTTCTCTATTCGATATATTTCTCTATTTATGTCAATTTACTATTTATATCTGTATCAAGAGAAACTTAACAATTTAAGTTCCATAATTTAGGTATGATTGTAAATTTAAATATAATAGATTGTATGAAAATAATTTTAACTTGAATTAATTGATAAAGAATATGGATGAATGGTATTAAACATCAATATGATTATATTATTTACGTAAGCGTAAAGTAAATTTTGTAAAATATTAACAACTGTCTACTGAAAAATTTAATATTAATTTAGACCAATATGTTATTTTTTAATTGAAAGTTGATAAGTAATAAAATAGTTAAATGGAAGTATATTTAGGAAAAGATAAATAATTACAATAAGACTTATCTGGATGTTAAAAGAATTTATTTAATAAACTAATCTTGGCTTGCATCAACATTTTCCGTTTGAAGACCCTTGAAAGTTCCAACAGGTATATAAGTAACGAGTGTATACAATTTGTTAGCAGAATCTTCATCGTCGTTTCTTCTCCTGCTTAGACGAACGCGAATGCGGAAAGGTACGTTTCTAAAACATAATTATTTTCTTATAAAATACAATCATTATTATTAAAGAAAAAGATCTCTACAATATGAATAATAATTAACATTATCTTATATTGTTAAAAAATAAAAAATCAATAATAAAAAACTTAGTACTTATGTTTACATACCTAATACCTTTAGACCAAAGCTGTTTGTTAAGACGAGTATCAATTCGTACATCAGGAGTTCCCATTTGTTTTTCAGCGAATTTTCTGATTTCCTTGATAGCTCGTGGAGCACGTTTTTTAAATCCAACACCATGGAGACGTTTATGAAGGTTGACAGTGTATTCACGTGTCACTACCTCATTGATAGCACTTTTTCCTTTTTTTTCGGTTGTTTTTGCCATTTTGGACCTAAAAATGACATAACATTTGTTTTACATTTTATACATAAGCATAACTTAGTGTATTCATTTAAAGAGTAAACATAGCAATAATTGTCATTAAAACATGAGGAAATAATAACAATCTATCGAATTGTAAAGGTTAGTCTTGTTTAAGAAATTATTTATAAGAAAACTATTCAACTATCAATGAAGAATATATCATATCATAAATAACTATTTGAAATTAAGTTTTTAACGAACAATTACTCTGTAACATTTTAGATCAATTTTAATAAATGTATTAATTTTTGGATATTTTCAGAGTGTAAACAAAATGTCATACATGATAGGTTAGGTATACATGTTACCATTATTATTAAAAAATACCACAAAATATAATAATTAGCAAATTTATATATTATTGAAAAGTAACTTCCTCAAATAAATGTATTATTTAGTGACAATAATTACTACGATGTTTGGAGATTTCAATGAAATTTATTACAGCCATTACCTTGCCGACGAACGGACACTTTAGAGAACGCGACACCGGCCGAGTTTTCATGAGTGTCGATTGAAAGCTTAAGCCACGTTTTCAGAAAAACCAACTATTCCGTGCGTGATAAGTTAACAGAAGTTATTTATCTTAAAAAATATTGATTATTTAGATTAAATGAATATATTGCGTACAACGTATAATTGTGTTAATTTTTTAAGTAATCCTTAAACAAAATAAATATTCTAATTATAAGTTTTTTATAAATTTTAGCGCCACTTTTTATGAAAATGCTTCTAATATTTCGTAGCTTGATGAATTTGTGAACATATCGAACGTAATCAACGAGAGAGAAAAGCAACGGATTCAGCTAACCTGTAATGTTGATGCAATTGTTTTTGAATGAATAAATTTCATACTAAATAAAGGAAATGGCAGTTGAAAAAATTTGGAAGTCGGAATTATGGAAATCATGGGATAAGCAAGGAAAAAATGATTTGTAAGTGGTAGAGCAAGTTACGAGAGTGACGCGATAATTTGATATACTTGAATTCATTCATCCGTTTTCTGTGAAATTTGATGGTTGCAACTTTAGTATCTTCGTTTATCACTCTTCCGAAGAGTTAATTTTTGTCCATTAACACATGTTTGCAGCCTCAAGATATTCAAGAACAAATTTAAGGAAGGAGAGACCAAAGGTAATCATTAAATTCGCATTTATGCTCAATTCTTTCATACCGCCCATTTCATCATCATTCTTTTTTCTTTGTCTTCATTGTTAGCGTGTTTATAGGTCCAAAATTTTCAGATACCGAAACTATTTTGCATCTGATCATGTTACAAGCAATCTAACTTGGACGATTTCATTCATTATTTTATCTTCTTTCGATTATTATCTAACTTTATGAACGAGTTTTTTGATATTGTGAATAAAATTATGAAACAATATTTCAGAATGGCAACGAGGTTTATACGAATTGATTTCAAACGGAGCATCAGGGGTTCTGAAGAAAGACAATGTTGTAGCTACTTTAGGAGAGCTCGTGGTATGAAAGTTTATTTATTTATTTTAAGTTTGACATACAAGAAATACAATTATATATTAATATTAAGTTTAAATAAAAAAATTTATTGCATAACTTCTTATTTGATTGGTCAATTAGTTAAATAAAAGTATGATATTTATATATTAAAAAGATAATGTTTCCAAAGACAATCAAATAAATGCTTTAACTATATTTTAATATCACTCATTCATTTATTATTTATAGACCATCGATCCCACCGTTCCATCAGCCATCGTCGACTTATTCACCTTGATCGATGCAGAGGTCCAGAACGACAGCAGAAACAACTTTTGTTACATCGTAAAAGAAAGCGAAAAGGTAAATTATTTGTCTATTACCTAAATACTGTTTCTTTAACTTATTATTTACTTATAACAATTAATTTTGTTCTAATTTAATATTTTAGTTTCTAACTGATAAGATTTTAAAGGAACGTTTAGAAATAGATACGCTTCAAGATGTAGGAACCTTGAAGAATCGTAACTTTTATACTAAATTCATCAAAGTAAAAACCAAACTTTAGTACGTATACTTTTTCATCTTAGATAGCATCAACATACCTCCACTTTTTTTTCATATTTTAATTTTATTCATTACTATTTTAATAATAATTTTTCAGTTATAAACAGCGTAAATTTAATCTATTTCGTGAAGAAAGTGAAGGGTATTCCAAACTTATTGTTGAATTAAATCAGGAAAGACCCAGTGACGAAGTTTCTTCCACCTTGGAAATAGTCAAATCATTGATAGGTACGATCCATAATTAATAAACAAAAATCGACAAAAAATAACACATAATTTTTTTTCTTCAGGCTATTTTAATTTAGATCCAAACAGAGTTCTCGACATTTTATTAGAAACATTCGAAAATAGACCACAAGATGATGGTTTATTCATACCTTTAATAAGATCTTATATGAGTGATCATCAAGTTTTATGTGAAGTACTAGGATTTAAATATTGTTCCACTGCAGATGGAACACCATTTTCTTTACAAAAAGTAACAGCATTAATGCTCCAACATGGAGTAATAGATCTAGATGATATTTTACCTTGGTTAGTGCCAGCAGACAAGATTATTATTAATGATCATGAACAAATTAAAGCTCAAGCCAGAGAATATTACCAGAAGATGCGAATTGTATCAACGAAAGACAAAGAAGAGACACCCGAAGAGAAAGAGGCTCCACTGGATAAATATAGTAATAACCAAAAGTTTGGATTGTGTGAAGCATTGTTAGATATTGGAGCATGGGATGTAGCTCGAAAATTATTCAATCGACTACCAGACTATTGTCTGACTGATCAGAAACCTATAGCTTTAGCCTTATGTAAATTGATCCAATCCCTAATTGAACCGGTCTATCGAAAACATTGTATAGTATCACCAAAATTACCAGGTCGTAAAGTAGCTCCTTTGAAGTCTCCTTTAGCACCAGAACCTATGCAAAACCTCGCGGAAATACACGATAAACTTTTACCTATGCTCATTATTCTCGGTCCGAATCTTCATCATGACCCCATTCTTATGTATAAAATTATGAGATTATGTCATGCTGCTATTAAACAGCATCCATTCGATTCAAATCAACCGTTAGATAAAAATAATACCATTCATTATGATATTTTGACTATTCTCGATGTGGCTCTTTTACCTTCATTATCTTTTATGGATTGCAACTGTTGTGTCGCGGAGGAAATGTGGAATATATTAAAACACTATCCCTATCAAAATCGTTACTGCCTTTATGCAAGGTGGAAAAATGATACACTTAGCCAACATGCAGCTCTTATGCGTAAAAGAGGTGATGCTGAAAAGAAAATCAAATCAATTATGAAAAGAGTTAGTAAAGAAACTATTAAACCCGTTGGAAGGTCGATTGGTAAATTAACTCACTCATCACCAGGAGTACTTTTTGATTATGTTCTTTTACAAATTCAACTTTATGATAACCTTATTGGTAAGTTTTTATATTTTTTTGTCATAAATATTTAAGGTGTACTTTATTTTTTATCACAAATATTTCAAAGTCAATAATTATATTTTTAGCACCTGTAGTGGATTCTTTAAAGTATTTAACAAACATTTCTTACGATGTACTTGGATATTGTTTAGTAGAAGCACTAGCAGGTGCTGATCGTGCTAGGTTAAAGCATGATGGTAATAGCATATCATTATGGCTTCAATCTCTAGCTTCATTTTGTGGAGCAATTTATAAGAAATATAACATTGAATTAACTGGCCTATTACAATATGTAGCAAATCAACTAAAAGCACAAAAAAGGTAGGTTGGCCTTTAAAGTGCTTAAAAACTATTAAAACTATTCTGGAATGATGAAAAAGGAATGAGGTGTTCAAATTCATTTCTATTCATCGATTGGTGAAATAAAAAATATGTGTACCTATATGTATTAGCCCTCAAGTATTTTTGGATTCTTTATCACTTATCACCGCGCACAGTTTTGATATTTTTGAGTGGATTATATAAATGGATGCACAAGAATACCTTCATGGAGAACCCAAAGGCATACGTTTGGTCAAGGTCTTGGAAACCATAAGAGGAATATATTTATTCTGCCTTCAAATAGCAATTAAATAACACTTAAGGAGTTAATATACACAAATGCTTTATGCAAACTTTTCAATATCTATTATCACATCTTCCTCACAATAATTATGTTTATCAATTGTATCAACATCATTTATCAACTAACAATTGATGGGATTCATAAAGGGCTAGTATCCAGAAATAGTTAAGAACATTTCAATGGTTTGATATTCTTTGTTTTCTCTTTATTTTCATGTTCATTACAGTAGAATCTTAATTTGTAGATGCAACTGTTTTATTTCAGACGCGTTTATTGGTAACAATGGAGAAGAGTTTAAAGATCACTGAGGCTTGGCATGATACTTGGTAAAGCGATGAAACCGTGATGTAATGAACAAAAAAAAAGAAAAAAATGTATAAAATGCTGGCATAGATTATCGGAGTTTTCTTACAATGATTAGAAACTTTTTGATTTATTAAAAATATCTACATTTCGAATAATAGCCAAATATGTTTTTTTCTCTTAGATTCCAAGCTTTCTTGACCCTTCGATCCGCCATGGTGTATCCATTTTATGATGATATTCTAAAATTCTAATCAAATTATTCACATTAATTAATTTATTGAAATTATACATATTATTCAAATGATATCGATTTTTTTACAGCTTGGATTTATTAATTCTCAAAGAAATTGTTCAAAAAATGGCAGGTGTCGAAGCCGCTGAAGAAATGACATCAGATCAGCTAGATGCTATGGCTGGTGGTGATCTTTTGAAGAATGAGGTATTTATGATTATTTTATTTTTTATTAATAACTTAATTATTCATAACAAATCTTTTTGAATAGGCTGGTTACTTTAGTCAAGTTCGTAACACAAAAAAATCATCACAACGATTAAAAGAAGCTCTTTCTGAAAATGACTTGGCAGTTGCTTTATGTTTATTAATGGCACAGCAAAAGCATTGTGTAGTTTATCGAGAAACAGATCAATCACACTTAAAACTTGTAGGTCAGTAATTTTATTAATTTTATTTTCAACAAATTTATTTTTATAAATAGCATTTTATGCAAGATTTAATGTTTTATCAATTCAGAAAAATGTTGATAATTAAAATAATTATTGTAGGTAAACTGTATGATCAGTGCCATGATACATTAGTACAATTTGGAACATTTTTGGGATCTACAATGACTGTAGATGAATACGTTGAACGACTTCCTAGTATCCATGGGATGCTTCAGGATTACCACATACACACAGATGTAGCATTCTTTTTAGCACGACCGATGTTTGCTCATGCTATTAATGTAAAAAAATTACTTCAAAAACCTAATATTGATATAGTTTTTTATTGTAATAATTCTGATATATTTTTTCTAGATAAAATATGATTCATTACGAAAAGCTGATCCAAATTACAAAAAAATGTCATCAGCAATGAAACAAGCAAAATGGGCAGAAGCTGCCCAAACTGTTATGGCACCTGTTGCTCAATCAGTTCGACCTCTTCATCCTCTTAAAGTTTGGGAAGATATTTCACCGCAGTTTCTTGTTACTTTTTGGTCACTTTCTATGTACGATCTCTTTGTTCCAACTGAAAGCTATCAGCGGGAAATAAACAAAATCAAGCAACAAGCTGCTCAAGCTGCTGACTCTAAAGATATCGTAAATATATAAACTTAAATATTTATTTTTTTTTTAGACATGAATCAAATTATAACAGACAATTTTTTTTACAAAAATAAATAGAATGCTAGTAAAGGGAAAAAAGAGCAAGATCGATACACTACATTGATAGAAAAACTACAAGATGAAAAGCGGAAACAGGAAGAACATGTAGAGAAAGTGTTTGCTTATTTAAGGTATAACTACTTATATTCATTTTTGACAATAAACTTTTTAGTATTAGAAAGTTTTATTTAATGTGGTTGAAAATTAATGTTATAGACAAGAAAAAGATTCATGGTTTTTATCCAGAAGTGCTAAATCAGCGAAAAATGAAACAATTACTCAATTCTTACAATTGTGTTTATTTCCACGATGTACTTTCACAACTGTTGATGCAATGTATTGTGCTAAATTTGTGCACACAATTCATTCTTTGAAGACTGCTAATTTCTCTACTCTTCTTTGTTACGATAGAGTAAGTAAATCACCATAGATTTATAGATAATGCATGTATTGAATATGAAATAATAATCGCTGATATGATTTTATCAGCTTTTTTGTGACATCACTTACTCAGTAACATCATGTACTGAAAATGAAGCTAATCGTTACGGAAGATTCCTCTGTGCGATGTTAGAAACTGTTATGAGATGGCATTCAGAGAAAGCTATATTTGATAAGGTAAAGTTATTTCCAATAAATTTCATGTTTAATATGAAAGATTCATAAAATTAGTTATTCATCGTTTTGATGATAATTACAGGAATGTAGTAATTATCCTGGATTTGTTACTAAATTTCGAGTAAGCAATCAATTTTCGGAAGCTAATGATATGGTTGGATTTGAAAATTATCGTCATGTTTGCCATAAATGGCATTATAAAATAACGAAGGTAAATTTATTTAATAAATTTGTGGTTTAAATGTTGTTTGATTGTTTTGTATTACAATATTAATAGCCATTGTGTTATTTAGGCTATTGTCGTGTGTTTGGATTCAAAAGATTACGTACAAATCAGAAATTCTTTAATTATCTTGATAAAAATCTTACCTCATTTTCCTGTACTTGCAAAACTTTCGCAAATATTGGAGCGAAAAGTTGAAAAAGTACGTGAAGAAGAACGTGGACAACGGCAAGATCTTCATGTTCTAGCTACTTCCTACAGTGGTCAATTAAAAGCAAAGACACCTCATATGATTCGTGAATCCGATTTTCACAATGTCAATGAAAAGGTTCAAATCTAAAGATAAAATAACCATTTTTATTCATACTGTTACTGTTATTGTTTTAATCAAATTTAAATATTTATAGCCAGGAAAAACTCAAGAAACTAGCAATGAAACTACTGAAAAAACTAGCAACGGAATTCCTACTAAAGATGTTAGCAATGGTGAAACTCGTGTGGAAAAAGAAAATAAAGAACAGCGAGAAAAGCGAGCACCCTCCAGTCAAACTTACCAGTTAGTACATAAGTTTACATTATGAGTACTCTTATATTATAGTTATGGTAAAATATTTAAATCAATGATAACATATATTTTAGTGACACATCTGAGAAAATTCGTAAAAAAGAAGACTCAAAAGACACTCAAGAGATTAAAGAAAAACATATTAAGAAGGACGAATCTAAGGATGATGAGCTTTTAGACAAAAGAGAACGCAAATACTATAAAGAAGAACATTATTATAGTGGCGGCGTGGATAATTTGGACAGAGATCTCTCGAGTGTATCGAACAGTAGTGCCAGCTCTGGCCCAGTTCAGGATGGTCCTGACAGAGGTAAACAGACATGCATAGAAAAACTTAGATTTACTAAGAATGGATTTATCGAATATTTGCTTACATCATTTTACTTTAGAACCGAAAAGACGAAAATTAGAGAACATTTCTAAAGAAAGCCGACGAGCAGATGGAAGTAGTGAAAAAAAGGAACGCTCTAGTAAATCAAAAGTACGAGATGAACAGAAAGAGCTACGTAAAGAAAGAAAACTTGGTCGAAAAAGAGTAAGTTATATAAATGATTTTTGTAATTATATCAATATTTTCATGTATATTCAATTTTTCATACATTATTTGTTGCAGGATCGTGTGGACGAGTCTTTAATCATTGCTGAACAAAAACGGAGAAAAGATGACGACAGGGGTTGGTGATTTATGTTTCTCTATGTAGCTTCAATTTAATAGATCCTATAAATACACATTTCCAAGTTCAATAGATTCTAAACGTTTATAATAAAAAATCTAACTTTTCTGTACTATTTTGCACTCTTATTTTGTGAATGATCCTTAAAATAACCTTTTATTTAAATCATTTGATTTTGTTTTCAAATATTACATCTAAATATCATTTTTAGCAACTTATTTTGATTTAACTTAATTTGTATTATTTTTCAGTACTTTAAAAAAATTTTTTTAATTCTAGCCAAAAATACTCATCAGAATGGTGATTTACCAGAACATCGAGAAAAACATCATTATGCTAAAGTACGTAAAGATATTTTATTAATAATATTTTATTTGCTAATAAAATTCATACTGAATTTTTTTTCAGGAAAAATCTCCTTATGGCAAAGAACGTGTTCATGAACGTGAAGGACGCGAAGGCAGAGATAAACAATATCCTTCTCATAGACACAAGCATAAATAAAAATATGTAGCATTTTACATTTTTTTTCGACACAAGACATCTGTGTTTAAAACAGATTGTAAATATTTCAAATGTATTTTTTCATAAAATCCAATCTACACATAATCCTTAACTAACGATTACTAGGCGAAGTTCAGATCCCAAACGAAGATGATGTAAAGTAAATGGAGAAAATTGAATTTACATTTTATATAATACACGAATAAATGTATATGTAATTAAGATCATTTCTGAAATAATAAATATTTCATTATATTATCTCTTAGCTACAAGAAAAATAATACTTTTTTTTATTTGCATCATTCAACATACTACTAGAATTATTTTAAAAATGCCCGCTTCTTTTCTAACTGAAGCTCATGCTGCCCTCTAAATATAAAAATAAGTCCGGAAAACACGAGCTCCATTTCCTTTCTTTTCTAAAATTTTACGTTACGTTGAGCGAGTTCACGTTTCGTGTCGTTTTGACTTAAAAGTAAGTATTTACAATTAATCATTTATTAATAACTATTAGTGAAATAACGTTCTTTTAGTTTAAAGCATTTCATTAAAGAAATTTTTATTATATATACTTTTTAATTCATAAAGATGTTTTTGGATAAAAACATGTCTAACCTATGCTACCGTAAAATGCCTAATCTTACATTAAAAAATGTGTTATTTATGATAAAAATAGTTTGAATATTAATATTAATTATTAAATAATTTCAATTATGATGATTATCTTTTTCACCATCTTTCGACTGAAAATTAATGATGGTTTTTAAATTCTGCTGATAATTACATGTTAATTATTATTTATATTAACACAATATTGATTGATTATATTAACAAAAAATTTTTTGTCTAGAATGCGTTACGTGGCCGCTTATCTCTTAGCTGTCCTTGGTGGCAAAGATGCTCCAAGTCAAACTGACATTGAAAAGATCTTGTCTTCAGTTGGTATTGAAGCAGATGCTGAAAAACTCAAGAAAGTACTTTCTGAGTTAAAAGGAAAATCCATTGATGATTTAATCGCTCAAGGTATTATTTTACCATGTATATATTAATTATAACAATATTACTTTAATATAAATTACATGAATGTATAATGTTTGATTTTATGGCAGGTCGTGAAAAATTATCTGCAATGCCCGTTGGCGGTGGTGCTGCAGCTGCAGCTGCTGCTCCTGGTGCCGCTGCAAGTGGAGCACCAGCAGCCGAAGAAAAGAAAGGTAAATTTCGCCAAATATCAACAACTGCACTTTCAGAATATTTTTTTAAGTTAAAATAATTCAAATGATGTTTTCTATATACCATCTTTCGCCTGAAAAACAATGTTGTTAATTTTACGATTTCTGAAGAATTATTTTCATAATTATTAATTTATTATCAATGAAAGTATTTCCAATTTGTAATGAATAATTTTATTTTTTTTATAGAAGACAAGAAACCGGCTAAAGAAGAATCTGAATCTGATGATGATGACATGGGCTTCGGTCTCTTTGACTAAAAAGAATTGGCCATCAGTACAAAAGAAACAATTTTAAAAATGTAATTTACATTGATGTATGGTTGTTTTATTTATTACTGATGAATAAACAATTTTTTACCATTTATTTGTTTTTTTTTTTGACAATATTTAAAAACAACAAAACCCAGTATTACTGTATTGAAATAAAATTATCATTATTTGTTTAAGTTTCTGAGTTTCCAAGAGCATAGATAAGTTTTTTTAACAATATACATTCCTTATAACCATCATGAAACTGAAAATGATTTATTTATTTTTAAGATCTCGTTTTAGAAAGTTAATATAATTATTTTACAAAAATTATTCTAATAATATTTCTCACTTTCTTTCAAACGACTTTTATAAAACAAGTTTGGTGTTAAATTTTCAACAAACTTATTAAATATATAAGAATAAAAAATTAAAATTATTCATCGTGCCACGACTTCATGTGCATTAGATGACTCATTAAATAAAAAAACTAAGTAAAAAATGCTTTCATGTTATTTATATTGAAATCGTCGCAGTCACTTTAAAAAAAGACAATGATCTTTGCCAAGTTAATTATATTGCATTATATTATTTATATTGAATAAAAAAAAATAAGCTTAGCTTGAGTCTTGCCAGACTTGTTCTGAAGTTCACGCAACGTGAACGGAGCCACAACACCAGACATCGTACGCGCCGTCGCGGCTTCATTCACCAGGATTGCAAAGTGGGGTAGATAATCGGTTAAAAGGAAGAAAAGAGAGGCTTGAGGTATTCTCTATCCTTCTTGTCAGACATTAGACACAACAACTTGTATCATTACGCTCAATAACTTTCAAGTTGAAAGAATATTAAATAAAATTATTTTAATAGTTATAAAAAATATTAGAAGAAGATAATAGTGAAGATTGTTAAATTAAAAAAACAATTTTGTTATTTGAATAAATAAGAGTAACTAAATAAGTAAACTGTTAGGGACTATTTTCTCTCGAAGGGGCGGATTATGGCCGCCATTATAGATGTCAGCGGCAAGCAGTGACGGCATTTGCTTTGCGTCAGTCGGTTTTGTGCGCGGATGAGTGAATTAAAGATCGCCGGGATCGTTGGGCCATTCAAAACCATTAGAAATAGTGAATTAAACAAAGTTCAGGATTTCAGATAGTGTTTGCTTGTAAAAACTGATACTTGGAATTAATCATAGCGCACGTTTAAATACTGATAAAATGTCGCAGCTACTACCCATAAGGTTTCAGGAACATCTCCAGGTAAGTGACCTGCTTTATGCTTGAGTCATCTTCGATCATTTAAATAGAAAATATTTTACAACACAATTGAAATCCACAATAACTTTCATTATTAATTGAACCAAATTACGCATCGATTAATCAATTAGTATGTTCTCCATCTTCTTTGACGACTTTTCCACCTGTCGAGTGGCAATCATCATATTCCATGATGCATCCGGGGCGTCGAGTATTCGAAATGCTTTCGAATGACGTCGAGTTGACAGCTATACTTTACTCCAACTCCACTAAACGTGTATTTAACATTAATAAGATTTTATCCAATATATTTTGATGTGAATAAACTGACTCAGAGACTTGTATCGATTGAAGGTGTAACATCTTCAAGTTAAATCACATATGATTGCTAGTAATTGTCTTTTCTGTAGTAATACATAGAGTGTGGAGTACCGGGTAGCCACGTCTACTTGATTCGTACACACGCCCCTCACAACCGCCTACATTTTTTTAATATCGTTTGTTAGCAGTATTTTTATTTAATAATTTTTCTACATAATCTGTTATAATTTTTATTTACTTTTTTGTTTGTTAGACATTATTAAATACGATATTGATGACGTGACGCGAAATGTCTGTTTTTCAAAATCAATGATTGTCCCTTTTCTCTAGGATCCGACCTAAATTTTTCGAGGGTATAAACATTCAGTCAAACATTTAGGGTAGATAAAACAAATGAGTTTTATGGTTTACTACTTTGTTAATTAACACTAAAAAAAAAAAAATTTTTTTTTATTTACGTTTTAGGTTTTTAAATATATTTTTTTATGAAAATAAATTCATAAAAATGGCTGTCTAATAACAAGTTATAAACAGAACAATTATTGATCTAATAATTAACGTAATTTTTAAATTGTATATTTTTAACTTAATATTTTCCTTAAAAAAAACTTCAATGTAAATTCATAAAGTACTTGAATAATTTTTAATAAGAACTTTTAAGCTTGTTGATTATTTAAGACCAACGTGAATCTTCGTAGATATAAATTGAAACAATAAAAGTAAAGAATAGATTGAGATAGATAAAGAGATAAAAATTTTACCTCAGTAATTGTAGAATAATATATTTCAATTTTAAACTGATGTCTATTATGTGGGACAAGTATTGCGAAAGGATTTATGAATGCAGAAATATTGTAATTTAATTAAAGGAAGCACATTGAATTTAAATAAAAAAACAATACTTGCAATTATGAACTTAACAAAGCATCAGATATTTTTGTTGTATTAATAAATTACTTAATCAAAGTTACTTTCATCCTATTTGTTTGGTGTTTTCATTAAAAATTAAACTCGGGAAATGATAAAAATCATCAGTAAAAAGATTCAAAAAATCAATATTGCTGAATAAATTATAAATTATATAATTTATCATGCGCTTTAATAATTAAATAAAAGTATTAGAAATAAATGAATCAACACGATGATGAAATAGTTAATTGTGGTGGTTTAAAAAACAAAAAAATATAAAAGTAAAATGATTAAGACAAATATTAAACATTGTTTAAATTTTGTTATAGCTTACAGCTGTTGGAATCAACGCCAACAATGTCAGCTTTAATACCCTCACAATGGAGTCAGATAAATTTATCTGCGTCCGTGAAAAAGTTGGAGACACATCACAAGTGGTTATCGTTGATTTAAATGACACCGCTAATCCTATCAGAAGGCCCATTTCCGCAGATTCGGCTATCATGAATCCTGCTAGTAAAGTCATTGCGTTAAAAGGTATTTAATTTTTTTTATTCATCAATTCTAATTGTAAACCTCAGTATATAATTGTTATTGCTTTCTATTATTTTTTTTGGAGAATTATTATGAATGGAAGAAGCTAATAATTTACTTTTTTCATTTTTAGCTCAAAAAACTTTACAAATCTTCAATATTGAAATGAAATCAAAAATGAAAGCTCACACAATGACAGAAGATGTGGTATTCTGGAAATGGATTTCTCCAAATACTCTCGCTTTAGTGACAGAACAATCAGTATATCACTGGTCTATGGAAGGAGATTCAACTCCAACAAAAATATTTGATCGCCATGCATCACTAAATGGATGCCAGATTATTAATTATCGCACCGATCCTAAGCAAACTTGGCTGTTGCTTATAGGAATTTCTGCTCAACATAACCGAGTTGTTGGAGCGATGCATCTATACTCCGTAGAGCGTAAATGTTCTCAACCAATAGAAGGGCACGCGGCTTCCTTTGCTCAATTTAAAATGGAAGGTAATGCTGAACCTAGTAATTTGTTCTGTTTTGCCGTAAGAACTCTTCAAGGAGCAAAGCTTCATATAATTGAAGTAGGCCAACCCCCGGCTGGTAATGCTGCTTTTCCTAAAAAAGCAGTAGATGTTTTCTTCCCTGCGGAAGCCAGCAATGACTTTCCAGTAGCAATGCAAGTTAGTTCCAAATACGATGTAATTTATCTTATCACGAAGTATGGATATATTCACATGTATGACATTGAATCAGCAACTTGTATTTTTATGAATCGTATTTCTGGGGAAACTATTTTCGTTACTGCACCTCATGAAGCATCTGGAGGTATTATTGGTGTAAATCGTAAAGGACAAGTTCTTTCAGTTTCTGTAGAAGAAGAAAATATCATTCCATATATCAATGGAGTTTTGCAGAATCCAGAACTTGCTTTAAGAATGGCAGTAAGGAATAATTTATCTGGAGCTGAAGATTTGTTTGTTAGAAAGTTTAATATGCTCTTCCAAAATGGTCAGTATGCAGAAGCAGCTAAGGTAGCCGCTAATGCTCCAAAAGGCATTTTGAGAACACCAGCAACTATTCAACGTTTCCAACAGGTGCCTACAACTCAAGGTCAAACATCACCACTTCTTCAATATTTTGGAATTCTCCTTGATCAAGGCCAGCTAAATAAATATGAATCTTTAGAATTATGTCGACCTGTTTTACTACAAGGTCGAAAACAACTGTTGGAAAAATGGTTAAAAGAAGATAAGCTCGAATGCAGTGAAGAACTTGGTGATTTAGTCAAACAAGCTGATTTGACTCTTGCTCTAAGTGTTTACTTGAGAGCAAATGTTCCCAATAAAGTAATTCAGTGCTTTGCAGAGACTGGACAGTTTCAAAAAATTGTTCTTTACGCCAAAAAGGTGTCTTACACTCCAGATTACATATTTTTACTCCGAAACGTTATGAGAATCGATCCTGATCAAGGTGTGGCTTTTGCACAAATGTTAGTTCAAGATGACGAACCATTGGCTGACATTAATCAGATTGTTGATATCTTTATGGAACAGAATATGGTGCAACAATGTACAGCTTTCTTGTTAGATGCATTGAAAAATAACAGACCAAGTGAAGGAGCTCTTCAAACACGTGTTCTGGAAATGAATTTAATGTCTGCTCCTCAAGTTGCTGATGCTATTTTGGGAAATCAGATGTTCACTCACTATGACAGAGCCCATATCGCTCAACTTTGTGAAAAAGCTGGCTTATTACAACGTGCTTTAGAACATTACACCGATCTTTATGATATCAAACGTGCTGTTGTACATACTCATTTGCTCTCTGCTGATTGGCTGGTTGGATTTTTTGGAACTTTATCAGTTGAAGACTCTCTTGAATGTCTTAAAGCAATGCTTACTGCTAATATCAGACAAAATTTACAAATTTGCGTTCAAATTGCTACAAAGTATCATGAACAATTGACTACTAAAGCCCTTATTGATTTATTTGAAACCTTTAAGTCTTATGAAGGACTTTTCTATTTTCTCGGATCTATTGTTAACTTCAGTCAGGATCAAGAAGTTCATTTTAAATATATCCAGGCTGCATGTAAAATTGGACAAATCAAAGAAGTTGAACGAATTTGCCGTGAGAGCCATTGTTACAATGCTGAACGTGTTAAAAATTTTTTGAAGGAGGCCAAATTATCAGATCAATTGCCTCTGATAATTGTCTGCGATCGATTCGACTTTGTACATGACCTTGTTCTCTACCTCTACCGTAATAACTTGCAAAAATACATTGAAATTTACGTTCAAAAGGTAAGCTTTAATTTTTAAAATAATTCTCAAATACTTTATTTTTTACGAATAATGTAAATAAAAATAAAAAGAAAAATTCACTTCAACCACGAATAATTGAATCAAATAATTGAGAGTATTGTTTTCATTTTACAGGTAAATCCATCCCGCTTACCGGTTGTGATTGGAGGACTACTTGATGTTGACTGTTCTGAAGATATAATAAAAAATTTAATTTTAGTCGTTAGAGGGCAATTTTCTACAGATGAGCTCGTAGAAGAAGTAGAGAAACGTAATCGCCTTAAGCTTTTACTTCCCTGGTTAGAATCTCGTGTTCATGAAGGATGCATTGAACCAGCAACGCATAATGCTTTGGCTAAGATTTATATTGATAGTAATAACAATCCAGAAAGGTTCTTAAAAGAGAATCAATTTTACGATAGCCGTGTTGTTGGAAAATACTGTGAGAAAAGAGATCCACATTTAGCTTGCATTGCATACGAACGTGGTCAGTGTGACAGGGAATTAATTGCTGTTTGTAATGAAAATAGCTTATTTAAAAGTGAAGCGAGATATCTTGTGAGACGAAGAGATCCTGATTTATGGGCTGAAGTTCTTATGGAAAGCAATCCATACAAAAGACCATTGATCGATCAAGTAGTTCAAACTGCTTTGTCAGAAACTCAAGACCCAGAAGATATTTCTGTAACTGTAAAAGCCTTTATGACAGCTGATTTACCAAATGAGCTTATAGAGCTCTTGGAAAAAATTGTATTGGACAGCAGTGCCTTTAGTGATCATCGCAATCTACAAAATCTCTTGATCCTTACTGCTATCAAAGCTGATCGTACACGTGTCATGGAGTATATTAATCGTCTAGATAATTATGATGCTCCGGACATCGCCAATATTGCAATAAACAACGAATTATACGAAGAGGCCTTTGCAATCTTCAAAAAGTTTGATGTCAATACATCTGCTATTCAAGTCTTAATTGAACAAGTAAATAATCTAGATCGAGCATACGAATTTGCTGAAAGATGTAACGAACCAGCTGTATGGTCTCAGTTAGCTCGAGCTCAATTGCAACAAGGATTGGTTAAAGAAGCTATCGACAGTTTTATCAAAGCTGATGACCCATCAGCTTACATTGATGTAGTAGAAACTGCACATCGGACATCACATTGGGAAGATCTTGTTCGTTATCTCCAAATGGCAAGAAAGAAAGCTCGTGAATCCTTTATTGAAAGTGAGCTTATTTATGCTTATGCACGCACAAATAGACTCGCGGATCTTGAAGAGTTTATTTCTGGTCCAAATCATGCTGATATCCAGAAAATTGGTGACAGGTGCTTCGAAGATAAGATGTATGAAGCAGCTAAACTACTTTACAATAATGTTTCGAATTTCGCCAGATTGGCAATTACTCTAGTTCACTTGAAAGAGTTCCAAGGTGCTGTAGATTCAGCTCGCAAAGCAAATTCAACAAGAACATGGAAAGAAGTTTGCTTTGCATGTGTAGATAGTGGAGAATTCCGCTTAGCACAGATGTGTGGTCTTCATATTGTTGTTCATGCTGATGAACTTGAAGATCTGATAAACTATTATCAAGACCGTGGTCACTTCGAAGAATTGATTAATCTTTTGGAAGCTGCTCTAGGATTAGAACGTGCTCATATGGGAATGTTTACTGAATTAGCAATTTTATACAGCAAATACAAACCTCAAAGAATGCGAGAACACTTAGAATTGTTTTGGTCACGTGTAAACATCCCTAAAGTTTTACGTGCTGCAGAGTCAGCACATCTCTGGGCAGAATTGGTATTTTTGTATGATAAATATGAAGAATATGACAATGCAGTGCTTGCAATGATGCAACATCCAACAGAAGCATGGCGAGAAGGCCACTTTAAAGATGTAATAACTAAAGTAGCAAATGTTGAGTTGTACTATAAAGCGATTCAGTTTTATTTAGATTACAAACCATTATTGTTAAATGATATTTTGTTGGTGCTTTCCCCGAGAATGGATCATACACGAGCTGTAGGTCATTTTACAAGAACTGGACATTTGCAGTTAGTAAAACCTTATCTAAGATCTGTTCAAGCTCTGAATAATAAAGCTATCAATGAAGCTTTAAATGGTTTACTTATCGATGAAGAAGATTACCAAGGACTCAGAACTTCGATAGATGCTTTTGATAATTTCGACAATATTGCTCTAGCTCAACAGCTAGAGAAACATGAGCTTATCGAATTCAGAAGAATTGCAGCTTACTTGTATAAAGGAAATAACAGGTGGAAGCAGTCTGTAGAGTTGTGCAAGAAAGATAGATTATTCCGGTAAGTTTCGATAAAGAGTAAATTCTTTTTAAATTTATTCATAATAAAAATAAATATTTTTATGAATATCGTCAGTGAAGTTCTAACAGTGCGTAAGTCCAATGTATAAGCATATGACTTACGTGGTGTTAGAACTTCAGCGACGATATATTGATTTGAATATTTGCATTTATTTATATTATTTTTTTATAGTGATGCAATGGAGTACGCTGCAGAATCTAGAAATCCAGAGGTTGCAGAAGAATTATTAGAATGGTTCTTAGAACGAGGCTCGAAAGACTGCTTTGCGGCCTGTCTGTTTTACTGCTATGATCTTCTTCACCCTGATGTTATTCTCGAGCTTGCATGGAAACATCGTATTATTCACTTTGCTATGCCCTATCTTATCCAAGTCATGCGTGAATATATCACTAAAGTAAGTAGCGTTTAACTTGATTACATTTATTTTAGAAATTTAGTCATAAGAATAAATCACTTTATCTATCTACTCTGTTATTTTTATTTTCTTATATTGTTTATTTTATTATTTATTTATTCGTTTCTTATTTGAAATTGTATTAGTGACAGTTGTTAATTGAATTGTTTTTTTGATAGGTTGATAAATTAGAAGAAGCTGAAAGTAGGCGTGTAGAAGAAACTGATCATCAAGAACACAAACCAATGATAATGCGTAAGTGAAAAATATTATTTATTGAAGAAATTTCCTTTGCAGTAATTAATTTATTGATAATTTATAATCAATGCTTTCTTTATTATTATTTCAGCTGAGCCTCAACTCATGTTAACAGCAGGTCCAGGAATGATAGCACCTGGATATGCACCTCAAGCAGTTTATGGAACTCCTGCTCCAGGTGTATACGCACCACCAACAGCAGCTTATCAAGGTTACGGTATGTGAAACAAATTTAACGAAACGTATCATGAACCTAATCAACAATATTCACATTTACTGCGATTGAGCTAAAATAAGAACATGCGCCATTAGCTCTTAGATTTAATTAAATGCTGGATTTTGAAATATAAATACAGCAAAAAATCATTCAATATACATATAATTGTTTCATTGATCATAAACTTGAAAAAAATGAGGATAAATACTGTGTGAACGTTTAAATCGTTTTTGATGGTGATTTAAATATTAAAATGAAAAAATACTATTACCTTCACAGTAGAACTATTTGTCATGAACATTTTTTCGAAATTCAAATACCGATAAAAGTTGCTATCAGTTATGTATTGATGTTTTAATTTGAAAATATTATCCAATAATTTGAATATTTTAATCATCAATTCTATGTACACTAAATATTGTTAAAGAAAATAAATATAACTAATTAAAGTTATACTTTTTCCAGTACAAAGATTATAAAAGGAACATTATAGAAATTCTGTCTTACTTCGTTGAATTTAAGTTCAATAAATTAATCAAATGGTTAAATAATTATTAATTACCGATTTTTGACGATTAAAAAAAATCATGTAGTTTTATCGGCTGCTCTAAGAATTTCTTTTTGTTGATATGTGTATATTTATCGATGAACTACATTGGAAAAGATCGTAGCCTTGTTTATCATAGGCTTTTTATGGTTTATTTTATTATTTAGATATTAATAATAATATTTCTATTACTATTACTCGTAGTTGTTTGTATTTTTTTATGTTTCCTTTCGTGATTCATAGGAATCTTCACTTTAATAAATTTGTTGTTTCAATTTTATTATTGTAATAATATAAAAATCAATTAAATAAAAAAATAAGTGTAGTATTATTGTTTGAATTATATCAGGTTTTAAATTTTTGCATTAAGATCGTAAAAAAAAATATTTAAAAATAGTAAGAAACTTTTCTTATTATGCATAATTTAACTAGAATATTATTACTATTATCAATTACGATTCAAATAGATCAATAATTTTATCACCTCTATTTTTTTTTTTATTATAATTATTTTTTTCACATACTTTATTTTAAATATCATAATGCAAAGCGTTAGTTAATATTCAAAGACAAATACTCAATTGGCAATGGCTTAAAGAATAATATCAATCTAAGAATCAATCATTCATAATAAAAATAGTAAATGAACATGAATTGTGTAAAAAAAAGATAAACAATAGTTTGGAAATATAATCTAATATAATGTGAAAGAAAATTGATAACATTCCGCAATAATAATCTTTCAATTTTGTGAACGTAAATTCACACTTGAAAAATATAAAATTGTTAAATGTTCATTATTAGTCATCTTGAAAAGAAAAATCCCCATTACTCTTTTAAATTTATTTTTTCTTTCAACAGATTAATCTTTTCAATTTCAATCATTATTGCCATGATAACGAATTCGGATGTATTAAAGGATCATTTGAAGGAAAAAAAATCAATTATTAATTATAAATAATGCGAAATGAAATTATAAATAGATCTTATAATAAAGAACTATATATTATAATAATGGTAATTAATGTAACATGTAAGTAGTAAATATATATAATATTAATTATTAATTAAATAAATGAGTAATGTGAGGAATGGAGAAAATAATAAAAAAATAAATAAATAAAAGTTAATAATTAATTATACTGGGTTATTGATAAATTCTTCGATACTTTAAGCAAAATTTTTCAATTACGTATATTTTTTGAAATATACGTTGTAAATTAGTACTACTAATCTACAACTTTAGGAACTTTCACCTTAAATCCCAAGAAGATACAAAATAGTGTCGAAAAATTTTTTGAACAACCCAATAGTTATGATGAACAATAGAATTCGACTATGATATCAATAAATTATTGATAGAATTCGATTTCGTATGTTCGTTTGTTCTATGAAATAAATGTAAATTAATGTGCCGACTTGCGATTCCTAGCTCGAAATAAATGAATGCCTATTCAATGCATCTTCTTTTTTATTACTTTATAATTAAATATTTAAAAATAATTGTTAACAACTAATAATTTTGATTTAACATTTTATTAACATACGACTACAATTGTGGTATATGAACTGCTTTAAATTTCTTAACACATCTTTCTGCAGGTCTAATACAAAATTCTTTTCCAAATAATGTTAATTTTACTCCAACCAGAAAAATATCTACAACAACGGCCATTTTTGGAATTGCTGAAAAATTTAATTAGAAATTTTAATACAATATTTTTTTTATTAAACAGTATTAATTATTAAATTATCCAAACGATAAATGTTTTAAATGAAAAAAAAACTTACTTCGAACAGTGTTATCTTCTCCAATAACTCGAAATGCATTTTTTGTTTCTTGAATTAATATCCCTCTAATCCCTATCAAGCTTGGACATTTTGATTTAACAACAGCCATGTCTGCACCATGCAGATCAGCTCTCATTAATTTTAAATTCATCGTCTCCCACTGTGGATCAGTAGGACTTACAGGTAATTTACAAAAATCATCAATTTCTAATGTTTTTAGAACATATTGCAACCATAATTTTTTTAAAGGAAGAAAATCTGCATATTTTAATTTAGTATTTAAACCAATGGTTTTAATTCCAATACGTTTTCGTTGACGAGAACTCAAAAAAGTCTTTTTTTTTGGCTTAACTTTTTGCATGTGAGATTTAACTTTATCAAGTATATAAGTCTGTAAGTAATTTTTTGTAAAGTATTAAATTTGATATGCCAATTAGAACAAAGTTTATAGTTTACTTGAAAATATTAATACATACCGTATCAATATCTCCAACAATATCTTTAGTATCAGTATTTGGTAAATATGTTTTTAAAAAATCCAAAATATCATGTTCTCTACTCTTAAATGTACAAGCATTTTGAGTAATCTCAAAAGGTAGAGGTTTAAACAGCGATTCTGTATATAAAACATCACATTAGTAGCTACATACAAGTAATAATATATTAAACAAAGATTATAATTTATTTATCGATATTAATTTTATATTTGACGTGGCACCCCATCAAATAATTCAAATCTATATTAAAAAAAAATATATCGATGCTTACCATTAGAAGTGTCCATTCTTTAGTTTGAATTACTGAGAGTTGTAACCCAGAGTTTAGTATGCAAATTGAATAATTTAAAAATTGTTTACACACATTAAACGCTACTCGGTGTATACCTTGATCGACTCAGTTCAAAGAACAAAAGTAAATCTTATAAAAATATTCATTATTATTATTCTAATGAATTTGGAGTTTTACCTATGCTGCAGGTAAAAAGATAAAAATAAATAATTATTTATTTCTTAATAAATAAACTATCTAAGTCTAAACCTCCTGCACATCAATATAACCTTGTTTCACATATCTCAACTTCAAAGATCATAAAAAATATTCTTCATGTTCAAGATGGCAGCACCTCTCAAGTTGACTTTACGCGGGACGTTTAAATGTAGTAAATTTTTACTCCAAAGTATATATGCGATTGACATAAGTACACTCGAATGTATTAATAGTAATTATTCAATTGTTTTATATTTTTATTACAAATAATTTATGACCACATTAAATTAAATTCTAAAAAATAATGAATATAACAGTTCATAAAATTCTTGATTTTACAATTGGAAATATTTTTGGAAAAGATATAACTTGTCGTGAGCCGGTACATCCGTGTGACTTATATCAACCTGGAACTTTGGTAGAAATCGGTAGAACTGGAATAAGAGTATGGATGTGATTTATTTATTTTGAAAAATCATTTTTCACATTATATAAGTATTAGAGAAAAATGAAAAACTTCTCTTACAATTATATTATTTAATATTTTGTATAAATAAAGAATATTAGTAGTTATATTTAAATTGTTAATGATAGCAGTGTCACCAACTTTAGTCATTGCCAACTGTAAAATGTCAGTAGATGAGCGAAAATTATTTGCTCGATTTGTTCATATTTTTGTGCTACTTTTCTTGACAGGCATAAAATTATCATTTTTAAATAAAAAATATAATGTTATTCTATCTAAGTTTAACTATATTACATAAATTTAATTAATTTTCTAATAAAATTTCTTATTGTTATTGATAATTAAATAAAATAATAATGCAGAGATTAGAGGTAAGGTTATTAAAATTGTGGAAAAATGATTAGATAATTATATTTATATGTTATCATCGCACATGTATTGTTAAAATTTATATTAAAAAACTTATTTATCATAATAATATTTTGTTATAAGTTCTTTAAGAAATTTATACTCCCTGGTGGACTTTGTGGTGCTGTACCTGCCATCAAACCTGATCCACCGTGTCCTAGTACACCAGTAGAGTGCAAAAATGAAGTTAAATTAATACGACCATCAGAACTACCTCTTTATGTTCACGAAGAACTTAAACCATCTAAACCTGAAGAGACTACACGGTAAAATCACAAGTAATTCAACAAAAATTCTTTATTATTTTCATGATTTAATTCATTTCTTGTTTATTTTCAAATAGATCATATGTTTAGTAGAGAGAGAGAGAGAGTAACATATTATTTAATATTTTTTAGTCAAGAAAATGGTCCTCGTGAATTTTTAGAACTTGGTTTTGGAACAGTCAGGAAAAATATTCAAAGTGTTATAAAAGAATACAGTCATGTTAAAGATACTATTAATAATACTATCGACACCGGTTTTGCACATTCACAAGGTAAAGCTAGTTAAAAATTGTACATAATGTCATTCTGACTCATTTTGCAATGATGTGATTGACTAAGAAAAAATTTTTGATTCTGTTCTTAGTAACTTTGGATTATTTAAGAGAAGAAAGCAACGTTTTACCTAGAGTAGGTGCTGTTGCAATTGGTGGTCTCACTGGATTAATTTTCAGTCTTCGAGGAGGAAAATTCAAAAGACTTTTATACACAACAACCGGAGCAACTGCCATAGCAGCTGTTTGTTATCCGAAAGAAGCTCAAGAATCTATTCATGCATCAAAGCATTACATCAACATTGGTTACAACTTCATATATGGTGGTAAATAATTAATTACAGCTAAAAAAAAGTTTTTCATTCAAGAACTTTAAATATACTTGAAATTTAATTCTTTTTTTTCCAAATCATTTCAGTAAAACCCGGTGATGCTAATCAGAAAGAAATAAGCTGGCCTGAATTTCCTACATTTAAAGTACCAACGTCGTTCTCTGAATTAATGAATTTGGTAACAGAAAGTGGTTCAAGTTTAGTAACTGCAGTAATGTCATTAATTAATGACTCCTCTAATACTATAAAAGATAAAGAGGTAAAAAATATTCGACAATTATTCATTTTTATACACTATTCTTTTATAAAATCTCTTTGAGACATTTTTTCACTAATTTTTTTTTTTTTAAGAAGATTATTTTTGTTTCCTTTTATATATTTTTACATTCCTAAACTGTAAAAACTTCAATTAATAATTACTTTTATTGTAGAAATCGTACTTCTATTGACTACTGAATAATATTTTATTTTCAGCAAACTCCAAAATCAACTAGTTCAGAAAAGAAATAAATAAATTTCTGATTTACACAACAAAAGGGATGTTTTAGATTATTTGAAATCAAATTTCTGTTATCAATTGTAGATAAATAATATTGAAATAAAAAAATCCAGTTCATACGATGGCTCTGTAATAACTATTTGAGGTTATACCTATATATATATGTATATACAAACATCAAGTTGTTATTGTGGTGAAACTATTTTCTTATAATTTTCAAAGTAAATACTAGTTTAAAAATTATACAATTTACATTAAATCTTCATTGCTGTAATATTTTTATTATTGAATTAAAATTATTTTTTCATCTCGTTTTGTCTTAAAACGATGTCAGTTTTAAATTGTAATTGAAGTTAACCTGTTAGAAGTGTTATTCAATCGAATAAAAATGAGTGGAATTAGATTTGGTGTAAATTCGATAATTCAGCGCACTTTATTATCTAAATATTTTGGATGGAGTAAATTAAAAGAATCTAAAACTATGTGTGGTGCAAATTTTTCTTCAATTTCATTAGATAAGGATCGAATTTTGAAAAACGAAGAACAATCCATCCATTCATTGTCCGATGGAAATACGAAACAAAAACGTTCTTTGCCTGAAGGACCTAATTTGACAGACTTTTTAATGGCTAATATGACAGATCTTCCAGAACAGAAAATTGAAGAACATCCATATGTAAAAGATTCATGTGGTTCACTTCCACAAAAAGTTTATTTTGATGTAAATGGATGCCAAATGAATGTTAATGATACTGAGATTATTTGGTCAATATTAAAAAGTGCCGGATATCTCAGAACAACTGACATTGATGATGCTAATATAATCTTAGTAGTGACATGTGCCATAAGAGAAAGTGCAGAAGAAAAAATATGGACAAAATTATCTCATTTAAAAAAAATTAATCAAACACGAAAATGGCTAGGGACTAAGAAACCAATCAAAGTTGGTTTACTAGGATGTATGGCTGAAAGATTAAAAAATAAAGTTCACGAAAAAGCTAAAAATGTTGATGTAATTGCTGGACCTGATAGTTATCGTGATTTACCAAGATTGCTATCTATAACGGAAAATCGGGAAGCGGCCATCAATGTTGCTTTGTCTTTTGATGAAACGTATGCTGATGTAACACCTGTTCGATTAAATCCTGATTCAGTTTCAGCTTTTGTATCAATTATGAGAGGGTGTGATAACATGTGTACTTATTGTATTGTTCCCTTTGTAAGAGGAAGAGAACGATCAAGACCAGTTTCTAGCATTTTGGAAGAAGTTAGACATTTATCGGATCAAGGGATAAAAGAAATCACTCTTTTAGGGCAAAATGTCAATAGTTATCGAGATTTATCGGAAACAAAGTTTTTTGCAGAAACTAAAAATGAAACTAATTTAGCTAAAGGCTTCAAAACTGTTTATAAAAAAAAATTAGGTGGTTTAAGATTTAGTGATTTATTAGATAAAGTATCTTTAATAAATCCTGAAATAAGAATTAGGTAAATAACAATAAAGATTGATTATTTATTTGCGTTATTTAATATTTTTAAATGAAAAAAATACATAATTAAATATTAAATAGCATAATTAATTTTTTCTTGCAGGTTTACATCGCCACATCCAAAAGATTTTCCAGATGAAGTATTAAGTTTAATAGCATCAAGATCAAACATTTGTAAACAAATTCATTTGCCAGCTCAAAGTGGCAATTCCAACGTATTAGAACGAATGAGACGTGGATATACTCGTGAAGCTTACTTAGAGCTTGTTGAGCACATAAGAAATATAATACCAGACATTAAATTATCTTCGGATTTTATTGCAGGCTTTTGTGGAGAAACAGATGATGAATTTGAAGATACTATATCTTTAATGGAAGCTGTACAATATCATATGGCTTATTTGTTTAAATATAGTATGAGAGAGGTATTTAAGATATTATCATCTATTCATTTAGTATAATTAATATCTTCTTATAATAATAATTAAAATAATTAACTTTTCTAGAAAACTACAGCACATAGACGCTACGTCGATGATATTCCTACTGAAGTTAAATTACAGAGAGTGCAAAGAATGACTGATTTATTTCGAAGTCAAGCAGAAAGATTAAACAGTTTAGAAGTTGGTAGCCAACAACTTGTTTTAATCGAGGGTGTCAGTCGAAGATCAAAATCAGTTCTTCAAGGTCGGACGGATGGAAATATAAGAGTTCTTATTCCAAATCCAGAAACTTCTACCAATATTTCAAATAAGATATTGAACAAAATAAATCCAGGAGATTACGTAGTTACCCAAATTTGTGAATCCAATTCTCATTCATTAACAGGTATTCCTCTTCATCATTCATCAATTGTAGAATTTTCAAATGTACATTTAAATAGTAAAGTGTAGATATGTAAATAATAAAATACTAGTTATTCAATTTAATGTATATATTTTATTAATTGTATTAATAAAAAATAAATAACTGACTTATTTTTATGTATGGCAACAACTCATACATTTTAGGTTGTATTGCAACGATGTAGTAAATATGTTAGAACCAGATGCTTTTGATTGTCTTCATTTATTTATTTAATATATCATTTATCAAACAAGACTTGCAGTGCCGATGTTTATGACAACATTATCAGCACTTCGTTCGTAAACTGTTAAATCATGGCCTCGAGGTTGCTCTAACAATGCAGCTAATTGTTCTCGACTAGGAAAATTTCCACGAGATTGTAGAATCACATCACAATCTAATTGACCTGAAATTACAGAAAATTTTATAGTACTTATCCATTTTTCAACCATTTTTTATTACTTTTTTTACCTGACAATAAGGGCGAAGCTCCTTTGCTAGATCCGTACATTCGAGTGCTATATCCGGAGTCATTATGTGCATCATGCAAAGGTGGAGTAGGACTATAAACTCCATTACGTGAACGGTACGGCATTTTTGCAATTGAATCATAATTTGTATCTTCAGGAATTCCAATGTGCTTTAAAGCATTTGCATTGATTTTTTTTGTAGTATCTGCATCTTCTTCGACTTCACTGCTCTCACTTTCATTATCTGAAATTATACACATCAAAGTTTCTCAAAAATATAAAAGATCAAATAGATTTTGTTCAAATTTATTAAAAGTAATGGTAATTATTACTTTTATTAAATCAGAATTTTTACTTTGTCGATATATTATTTAAAAAATTAATTTTTACCTTGTCGTTCAGCATGCCAACCATTAGATTGCCCTTGCGTTTGTAATCGATTCTGCAAGCAAGAACTATTATCAGGACTAGTAGGTTCACTACTCACTGAACGTGGTCCCCTCCAGCCATTATGCATTCCAGGGACTTGTTGAAACCGTTTTATCATCTCATGAACACTTCTCCGACTTGGAGATACTTCCCAAGAATTTGTAGCATCTTTACTAGACTTCTTACTGCCATCACGATCATCGCATTCTACTTCATTCACTGCTTTGTGCTGATTTATCTGTTTCAAACTAATTGGAGATGCAGTAGCTTTTAATTTTTTATCTCTTCCCATTACGCCATCAAAAGTTTCATTCAATCTAGGAGAATCGATAACTTTTAACTTTATTTTTGCACTACTGTTGTCGACTGGCAGATCTTTAAGTGATTTACTAAGTCGAGGAATAGCGGGAATGTCCAAGTTATCCAGACTACCTCGATGTCCGGATGTTTCTCCAGGGATTTCAAAACTTCGATCGTTTGGTCGATCATCTAAGAGATCCTCGAGAGATCTGGCTCTTGTTGGAGCTTGGTCCTCAACTAAATGCGATCTAGAAGGACGTTCTGAATGCCTTCCTTGACCTCCTCGATTTAACCAACGTTTCATTTGAGCATGTTTTTCTTCACACCTTGATCTTTCTGCTGCAACACATCTGGTTAACTCAGATATTTGTCCTCGTGTTCTTCGTTCAAGATTTGCAACTTTAAGATCTAATCTTTCATGGGCTTGCTCAATATGAGCTTCAAGTTCTGCTTTATCTCTTTTTAATTTGGCTTCCATATGTCGGAAAAACGGAGCACAATAGCAAGTGTATCCAACACCTACTGGACCTTTTCTTATATTTCCTGCTAGATCTAGATAATACTGTTCACCACGTCCCAATGGATCAGGTGGAAGAGAGTCTAGTTTTGGGGAAGGAAAAGATTCAGGATCTGGATAATAATGACATCCATATGGTGACCATTGTCTACCGCCTATTCCTTTTTCAAAATGAACTTTATGCTCTTTGCCATTCTTCTGCTTCTTCTTGTCTTTCTTTAAACCTTCCTCTCTACTTCCACTTGTTCCACTACTAGTTTTTTCACGTTTCTTACCAGTTTTGCTGTTAGACTCGGGTGTTATCAAGGCATCCACTTGATCATCACGATTTTTAGATCGTGATCGACTTTTACAACGTGATTTATTTATGATTTCTAGGATTTCAGAGAGATTCTTACGCCGTGCTATATCTTTCGCTGTTTCTCCTTGTTTATTGCGAAGACTTCGATCACATCCGGCTTCTAATAAAATTCGGGTCAGCTTCCTTCGACCCATTGCTGATGCAATGTGTAATGCAGTATCTCCATTCTGTTAAATATAATTTAACAATTATGAAAGTTAATTTACTTTATGATATTAATTAATTAGATTAAAAAATCCAATATTTATCTGACTTTTGATTACTTGAAATTTCGCACTATTCTCTCAATTATAATATGTAATTATGAAATGTAAAATAATGAGTTTAAAATTAGTTGTTACTTTATTTTGATCTGAAACTCGGCACAAAGCGGATATGAGAATTCTTGTAACTCCTGCATGACCATATCTGGCGGAAGTATGAAGAGGAGTGTCGCCACACTGTAAAATGAATTATAAGTGTATAAACAACATATTTTTACATAAATTGAATGTATTTAATCAGTTATCTGAGCATTATAATTATTTTTCTTTTAAGTTTACTAACATTATTTTGAAGGTCAGGATTACAGCCGGCAAGAAGTAGCTCTCGGCAACTTTGATTATGGCCATTTTGACATGCTAAATGCAGCGGTGCAAATCCGGAAAAATTCCTTGCGTGCAAAGGACCACGATGTGTCCCGAGGGCTTTCGCTAATGCCGCCACAGTTCTGCTGAATCCTCGCCAACAGGCTTCGTGAAGAGCCGAGTTTCCATGCTGTAAAAAATAATAATGATCTTGATATCAATATAGATTTTATTTGTGATGAAAATATATATGATTATAAGTCAAAATAAAATTATCAACCATTCAAATTTTTGCGCAATTTGCCGTAATAAATTTTAATAAAAATAATAAATTAAAGATTGATGAGTATACGTATGGCAGTAAATGTCTATTTTTTATATTGGCCTGAAGCAAAATGACGTTAACTACTTGAAGAGCACGCAATGATAATGTATACAACGGCAGCTTGCAACATTACACATTAACAGTAGAAACATTCATGAAAATAGATTTTTTTTACAAATCAAATGGTTATACACGAAGTGGTAGTGTAGTGTGATTTAAACCAGCATTGAAATAGCCTGGTGGATGAAGGAAAAAATGGAAATGATATTTTTCTTTGAGTCCAAGAAACCACAAACGCAGTAGGAGACCACGCCTACATGCAGTCAGTCTGCGGTCAGACAATTCCTCAAGTTGCTCTTTTTTTTAACCTCTTCACAGGTGAATAAATGTACATACGAAGAATATAAATGTCTACCTTAATGTTAAACGTCAAACAATCATTATGAAAATTTGAAAAAGAAAAATTGGTCACTTTACTATATGAACACGTTGTAAAGTTTCGAAAAATAAATGAGCTATCGACAAATGTGAACCTTCTTCATGAATGTTATCTTCAATTGAACATTCTTTTATGTAATTAAAGCTATATATGTTTTATAGAACATATAAATTGTCCAGTGAATTTGTAAAATATCTGACTTGCAGCAATTCAAGTTTTAATGTCAACTGATAGATATTTATTAAACATGTATAAAACAATAAAATAATATACAAATAAAAAGTTGTAGCATCAAGTGAATATATAGACGAGTAAAGGTAAAATACAACACGCACCGGGAGTCACAAGTTTTCTAAGCTTCTGACTATCCATCATCGCCGTGAGCATCATTAATTTCATCGTAGCCACGCACTCGAGTAGTTCACGCTGGACCACAAGAAGATACGACGGGAACACACGGTAAGTTACACTCTAGTATAATAACGAGTTTATCAAACTTTAATCGTTGAAGAATTTGATCTTTTATATGGTATTTTTAATACTGGTTGGAGTTGAGATAGAATATATAATACAGAAGAGAAAGAAAATTTTAGCATTAATCAGTCGAAATGAAAAGACTTGAGAGTTGGAAAGAAATATGATCTTGTGTTTGGTATGGTGAACGTAGAGTTATATTGCCATATAGGGATGGATATGCAGCTGTTGGTTAGCTGTTTCACCATCGGCCATTTTGTTAAGAACGGATGTACACACGTAGCTGAAAAGAAACGCGCTATGCATATGTCTGGTAAGAATGGCATTAAAAAGCCTCCCAAGAACTCTTTCAGTTACATCCTCATGTACAACAAAAAAGAAAGAGAGAGAAAATAACTATGAATTTCAATAGCTGGTATTAGTCATTTTTACCGTCAGCTCCTTCAGTCTTATTGGATACAGGTTCGAGTATAAAAGCTTTTATTCGTTACATTCATAAGTGTAGATCATCTCCACCAGGTATTCATGTTTTTAAATACATGTCAATGATGCATTTAATTATCGAAGATACAATAAATCTTACTAGTCTATTAATGATTATTTGGTAATTTTTATTCTTAACTGAAATGTAAGCGAATAAACTGTGATAATCTGTTAATGAGATGTATAAAAACCAAGATTTTTCATTATTAACTGTCATCTCATGATGAAAGTTTCTTTTATCAGTGAAAAAAATCCTGTTAATGGTTTTTTAACGAGGATATAAGTTAAGACATGTGATCACTTTTCTTTCACAACATATAAGATTTTTAATGATTTCTTGATACTTTTGCTGAAACGTGAAATAAAAATTCTTTATGAAAATAATACACCTGACCTCAATGAACAGATGGTTATTAATTAATGTTCATAAAATAATCCCATATTGTATTTAATACTGTAAGACTGGAAAAAGGCTTAATAGATTTTCTTGGTAGCTAAAGATCGAGAGAAAGTGAAATAATTTTGATTACAGAGGGCATTAAATTTTCCAACTTCCTGATCAGAAAATCAAGATTCATCGCGATTACAATACAATCACGATCAGTTGATTCCTTGAGGCTAAAGACTACAATCAGATAGCGGACAGCTTAATTGGAAGGAATTGCAACACTTGAATGGTGTCGGTACGCTTAGAACTCTCAGAAAGAGTCTTGAGTTAGTAATCCACGAATAAGTATTGCAAAGTAGAAAATAAGGCAGTTATTTGAGTGTGCGATCCAGTAATCTAGAAGTTGAAATCTCGTCGCACCTTAACCGAGTCCTCAAGCAACAATATTTTTATTTCTTGTTCATTTCTTTACATTATTTTTATCTCATTTCTGGTTTAAGATAAAATTCCAGGTTAATAAAACCGTCAAGGAGTGTGAAGGTAAGTAAAAAAAAAGTTACATTGGATCTTGAATTACGGTGAAAGGATCAGTTAAAATATGAGGAAGTAACACCTGACGTATCTATCACCTACGCGAAACTTTGATACGTGTATAGATGGAATGAACATTTATATACTGAAAAAAAATTACCCTTTGGAAATTACTATGCTGTTATAGTAACTTGTTCTAAAATCGCCTTGAATGAAAAAGTATAAGAATTTTGTATACAATTTGTGATAAACTAAGTGAAGTTAAGAGGAAGTGCAATAAAAGTTGAAAATTCTTGTTAATAATTCATTGAAAATAGTGGTTTTACAGTAATTCCTCTGTTAATTAAAACAAGTTTTAACGTTACATGTGTTTCCAATGTATAATACTAATTAATCAACATTTCATTATGATGGGAAATTATTTTTATTTGATAATTAGTGAATGATCATATTTGCCTGCATGTTAAAAATGAATTGTACACAGAGATAATTTTTTCACTAATTGTAAGTGTGAAAATGACAAGTGCAAGTCGAAATTTAGAAGTAAAAATATTTCTATTCGATAGTAAATTAAGACAGACTAATTTTTCGTCACTTATTAACTTCCCATTAAGAAGTTATTGTAATGAAGTAGATTTTTGAAATCCGTAATTTTATCATATCTCTACGTTTTGAGACATTTAAAAGCACATTAGAAGGTTTAAACATGGAATTATGTGCGTGAAAAGATAATACAATGAAGAATAACTGAATAAAGTTTGAACAAATTCGATTCAGCTGTTTTTTTTATAACAAAAAGAGTTTAAAATAAGTTAAGTAAAGAAAACATTTGAAGTAGATTCTTCTTATTGAGTGATCAATATTGTTGAAAATTGAGGTCAATATAATATGGTTGTTAATAATTTCATATGACTCTAAATAATTATACATTGTATATGTACGTAAGAATGGTTTTAATTTATTGAATTATCATTACTATTATTATATTCGGTAAATATCAATGAAATATTGTTATAAATAACTTGATGTGATAAAACAATTGTATATTGTTTATAAAAATAGCAATTAATTATGAACAAAAATAAACCAAAAGATGACAAGACTACAATTAGCAAAGTTCTAACTAATTTCTTTTTAGTTATTTTTTCTACTTAAGCCTCTACTCGAATTATCTTTAAGTAACAAAACAATGCAGTTTTATTCGCAATCATACTAGTGATATTCCTTGTTAATGTTTTTGTTTTTTTTTTTTTGATAAATACTTTTGCTCCAACTAATTTCGAAATCATTTAATATATTAATATCGAAAAAAAAAAAAAATTGTCAGAAGTGGGATTCGAACCCACGCCCTCAGAGAGGACCAGAAAGCTCCATATGATCCGCACTTATACGGACAAGGTTAAAACCTTGAGTCTGGCGCCTTAGACCGCTCGGCCATCCTGACATGAGAATGCCACAGTTCCATTTGTATTGTTGTCGTGAGTGGACGTCTCTGTTCAACCTGCGATACTGTGAAAGACTTTTCTCCAAGTTTGAGGACCCTATTGTGGCCACAACCAGGGATTATCATCCAATACTGTTGCTGAAGCGTTATCAAAAGAAATCTGGGGCGAACCAACACCCGGACGACCCGTTTAGACCACCGACAGCGTGGGTTTTTCCCAATGAACCTAACATCAAGTTGAAGATGGATGCAACTACGAAAAGAAAAGCTGAGGCCCTTGGACAGGGCGATAAAAATAAAAAATAAAAAATTAATCAAGAAGTCTATGAAAGATTTAGGCATTCTCAACTCTGCAAATGTTGAGAAAGTCTTTAATGAAAAAATAAAGAAACAACACCCTAACCTAAAAAATGCTAGAATACATAAAGCGGCGTCGCTAGAGGAGATGGATTTCTCGCATGAAGTGATCGACACGCCATCTGTGGGCGTTTTTTCACAGCCTAACAAACCTCAAGACCTACCTCGCCAGTCGATAGGGCAGGTATCACGACCAAGAACCGTTTCAGCCAGCTCTCAAGCGCGAATACTCAAGATGCAGCTCAGCCAAGCACCTCACAGATGAATCCACCGCAACGGGATTCCACAGCTCAGTCAATTAAACCAAAGCCAACCAAACCTCCACCTATATTTATCTATAATACAAATATCAAAGAAACTCTTACCTACTGTAAGACCAAAGCTATAGCTCTGATACGATTAGAGTGAAACAAACAGAAACAGTAGTTAGTCTATCAGCCACTAACAAACAGGTATATGAAAAGTTGCTAGAGGCTTTGAAGGAAGATAATAAACCGTTCTATACATATACCCCCAAAGAGAACAAAACTAAAACACTAGTTTTGAAGGGAGTGTTTGGAGGATTTGATGAGAAAGATGTAGCGGAGGAAATCAGGAGTCTAAACATTGAAGATGTACAGGTCATTAAGGTGTCCAAAATCACCTTTAACAAAGATAGACCCGATTTGGTGCAATTCCTAGTACAAATTTCCAAAGATAGTAACCAGGCTAGTCTAACAAAAGTTAAGTTATTATTGTCCCAAAGGGTTAGATGGGAGAAGCTGCGAAAAAAGCAAGCGTTCCAATGCAAAAACTGCCAACGGGTAGGTCATGCCAGCTCGAATTGCCATTTAAAATTCAGGTGTATGAAATGCGCTGAGTCCCATAAGCCAGGCGAGTGCACAATCAAAGAAGGAGCACAACGTAGTGAGCTAAAGTGCGCAAACTGCGGTGAGACAGGCCACCCGGCCAATTACAAGGGCTGCAGATACTTAAAAACTGCGGAGGAGATGCGCAAAAATGCCTTAAGAGCTAAAATAGATATCAAGAAAAAGAGAGAAGCGCACTACAACAACTTCATCAGACCAAATGTGTCCTTCGCAAACGTGAGCCAAAATGCGGGCATTAGAGCACAATCAACAACAACATGTAGGGAGTCAAACCCACTGAATCTTAATACGCAAAACAACACAATATTTGACCAACTAAATGGTACAGATAATGCTAACATGTTCAATCAATTCGAATCCCTATTCAATCAGTTCAAAGACACTATGTTGACAGCTATGAACACGCAGCTACAGCTCTGTCACAAAGGATTGCTGAAAACTCCTTAAACATAGACCATATCCTCTCAATAGTCCATTCCAACAATGAATAATACAACTAATACGTTAGATACAACTGATACGATCCAGCAAATGGATAATTCAACCATTAAACTCATCAATTTATGTGCAATAAATGTCAACTCACTTTGTGTTCTAAAAAAGAGGCATGATCTCCAAGATTTTATTAATATTAACAAGATAGATATAGCAATGATTTCTGAAACTAAATTAAATAAGAATCATAAAGAATAACCTTCCAGCATCACAACTTCGTACGAACAGATAGAAGAGCACCTAAAAGAGGAGGTGGAACAGCCATTTTAATTCACAAAAGGCTGCACTACGAACTTATTTCATTCCCAAACTCACATAAGAATAACACAATCGAATACACAGCAATCAAAATTAAAACTAATAAAGCAGTTTTGCTGGTCCTCAGTATTTATGCAGCGCAAAAGACCACGGACACTTTCATCGAGGATCTCGATAAGTTGTTCGACGATCTCAACCTAAATAGCAACAACATCTTCTTCATTATTGCTGGGGATTTAAACGCTCGCCACACTGCATGGGGAGACACGAGGATGAACACCAGAGGTGCTGCGTTCTATAATTGGACCAGGAATAGCAACTATGCTCTTAAGGTCGCACATTATAGCTCAATGTTCCCAACTTTCCCCAAGGCCAGTTCATACTTAGATCATTGTATTTGTGACAGCAGGCTAAGTCTCGTCGGATTAATCAACAATAAACTTGACACTATTCCTTATGACAGCGACCACAATGGCATTATCTTCTCCATAGATACACATTCAATTTTCCAGGGCATCATACGCCCCCCGCCTCCACCGATCAGATTTAATTACAGATGTACTAAATGGGATGACTTTACTGACCATCTATTATCAGCTAGAAATAGCAGCGACCAGATTCCAGCTGACAGAAACCTATCAATTGAGGAAATAGACAATCACATCGTAAGATTGGAAAAAATGATATCAGATTCGATTGAGGCAACAGTACCTAAATCAATACTAATAAATACAACCCATATGTCAAATACGTCAATAATAGAGTCAAGAAACTGCATTCAATAAAATCTCAGTTATTAACCAGCATGTTCAAAGTAGTAAAGGCAGGGGCTGGTAAAGTTTTAATTCAAGAATACAAGTCTGCAATCAAACATACCAATAAGTTACTCCAGAGTGAATTCAATAAGTCCGTAACAGCATACTGGGAAGCTAGAGTGAAAAGTATCAACTACAGAGACTCTAATTCCTTTTTCCCAACCATCAACTCGACGCTAAGATCAAAGTCTTCACTCTCAATTGAGGCTTTAAAAGTGGACATCAACTCAACACTTATTGCGGGTCTGGATCTAGCAGGAGCACAGGCTCCAGTAGTTAATAACATGTTACACATCTCTAACCCCACCAACATCCTGGATGTCATTGGGAAGCATTTTGAAAATATAAATTCCCCCAGATTCACAGATGAGAACCAACATGTAAGAGACCGAGTGTCTCAGGCATTAGTGGACATCAAATATAAACGAAGGCTTAACAGATCTCAAGGAATTACAATAACCAATTTCTCAATAGATAACCTAGCTCATACACCAACGGCTGAAAATGACTCTCCTAATATATTCCACAAACATGACGAAGTAGGCGCTATCATAAAGTACTCAAAGAATAAGTTATCCTCAGGATTAGATGGTATCCCTATGATTGTCATTAGAAAATTACCTACGGAGCTAGTCAAGGACTACACAACACTATTCAACAATGCATTGAACCACTCATACTATCCCAGACGATGGAAGCAGGCGAGAGTTATTCCAATCCTGAAAAAGGGCAAGGACCCCACTGATCCAACCAGCTATAGACCAATAAGTT